GTAATGAGCCCGTAATGAACCTCTACAATACAGCTTATCAATATCCATAGAATGAAGACCGCAGGACTGTAATACACTAGTTGGTCCTTTAGCACCAGCTGTTTTGATTAGGGCTCACAAAAGCTTTCGGCGCGTCTCAGGAACTGCACATTGAGTCCACACGGCAGGAGGGAGAGAGACAGAGACAGCGAGCTGGGAAAAGTTAACGAGGATTTGCTCTCTGGCACACAAACACACTCATCTGGAGAAACGCAGCCAAACATCATCAGGTTTTCAGTGCAAAACTACTGGAATGGCAATCAACTTTGAAAAAGGCCATTTAAATACTGTTTTTTGGTAGAAGAGAAAAGAAAATGTTTCAGAAAATGTTCATGCTGCTCTTTTTAAATGAATCATTTTAAAGTGAATGTCCAATAATGCTTATGCTTAAAGCTTAATGTCTGATGATGTTTACCTCCAAGATTATCTGAAGTCTTGCAGAAGCTTTAAGATTAAGATTAATCCATGAAAACAATGAGGATCATCTCTGCATATTTGACTAAAAATAAAGCACGTTCAGCCAAGTGTCGAGCATTTACTGGAGTTAATGTAGTCTTTTTGTTTATTACAAAATCAGCAACTTATGGCCATTTCATGGCAAGATCGACCTTTGATTTAAGGACCTTTAAGGACTCTTTCCAAACATTAAGACCTGATTGCCACTTTAAGTGTCAACCAGCAACATTGGCAACATTTGTACTTGGTGTATTTACTAAATACTGATATTAAACTAAGCCACAATTCATATACTGAATAAAAACTCGAATCCAGCAAGGGATGCATATAGAACAGCAGGAACACTGGTGTTGTCTTGGTTACTGCAGTAAACAATATCCTGTGAGATCTGACCTCGCACTGCATTATTGATTTCATAAACCACACAGCATCCCAAGATCCACAGATTAAACTCAGGAAAATTCTAATCGCACAACTATACATTGTATAATCAAAAATGACAATTTAATAGGTCAAAAAATAACATTTAAAATGGCAGCTATTTTACCCCTTTTTCAAGATATAAGATAAGTGTTTTGTGTCTCCAGAACGTGTCTAAAATTCTCTCAAAACACCCATCAGATTATTGCTTTTACCTTTCACAATGCTGACATTTTCCGTTCTGAACACACTGTAGCTGTTTTTGTTGCCTGTGCCTTTACTGATAGTTCTCCCCGCCCACAGTTCCCACATGCCTTTTAGAGTGTGCTTCAATCTCCGTCTCTGCTGCGTCAGTTTGAGAGTAATACTACAGAAAGTATTTTGCTTGTAAGAAATACTACAGAAAAAAACTTTCCCAATGATTATTTGATGTATTTGTTGTGGAGTTAAATCAAGCCTTTCTGCAATGATGAGTCACACACAATGTTTTTACAAAGTTCATGCACGCACAGACAGACACGTTTAACTTTGCATGGTTTATGAACGCAAATGTGAAAGGAAACACGTTAATATCCACTGCTGTATGGATATCCGTTATGTTAAGAATATATAAAATAAACCTGATTTATTGTCCACAAACTGGGATGGAAGCATCTTTTTTTTAAATTGTACTGACATGTGACTGTGGTGAATGTAAAGACAGGAGAGGAAAAAAAATAAATAAATGAAAAATTCGCTGTAATATATTACAAACATGCACAGTTTTGAAACCTTTTAAACTTGTAAAACTTAAACTTGATCACATTTGATGATGACTGATGATCACAGAGAGCTGAACAGATCTTTTAATCCCAGTTGCTTCGTGCACGTCCTGTCTTGTTGATCTGATTATACACATTACTACGGAGACATGTTAATACACAGCTGTCAATCAATTCGGTGGGCGGGGAAACGGCACTTCTATGTCACATTGCAGTCAGCCTTTAAATTGGGAGGGATTTGGATCCTATTTCAACGTCATTCCAATATGACTGTGGACACACTATACTTACACACAGTACTGTTCAAACAGCTTCCAAAAAATGATTTTCATCATAGGAGCCCTTTAAGACTTAATTGTTTTTCAATTTCTTTAAATTGATGCATCAAATTTTAATACACTAAAGTCTGCATGAACTGGAAACTGTGACTGTTTGTTTTCATATAGTAACGAAGCTCCTAGAGAAAGAAATATTAAATAAGAAAACAGTGGGCGTGGCTTATTTTACTGCAAGCTGATTGGATTTAGTAAAGACATTTATTTTTATAAAGATCAGGAAAAATGTTTGGGGAGAGTTATTACAACCTATCAGACTCCTCTCGTCAAAACTGAAAGTCAGAGGGGTGTGGTTAAGTATGTTAGCCACACCCAATAACTCAGACAGACGCAATTTTAGAATTTAACAGAAACAGGAAGTGCATTTTTGGATTTCAATTAAAGATAACAAGGACAAACTATTGTTTTCTTTTTACTAACATGCACAGATGAATTGTTCGCCACAAAGCTAGCAATGTGAGCTAACAAAATCTATATGGTTAGTTTTGATTTCATGTGTACTTTAGGACCGCGCAGACACCATGATGTGAAATCTCAGCAGGAACCAAAATAAATAAGTATAATTATTCTTGAAAATTTATTGTGATTGCCTTATTCATAGAAACATGAATGGCTTGGCGGGCGGGTAGTGTGTGCTGTACGTTTAACTGGAGGGTTTTGCATCAGTGGCCAGTGAAGAGCCGCAGTGATCAGCGAAAAACCCCCAAACCTCGATTAGCATCAAGTGGCAGCAGGGAGGCTTCCAGTCGCCCACAGATGCGATTATTCATCAGCTTGCAAATTGGCACATCAAAGTAACGGTGGAGGAGACATGAGCCGCTCGCGAGGACAGAAGGTCAGCGAACGCGTTAAGAGCGACTCCTGTCCTTCAGTGTCAACAAACTAAACACTGCTGAGGCACAAGGCCTGTTTCTGGATAAAAGCAGACTGCGTTACAATAACTTAAGCAATTGCACATCATACTAAAGTTAAATCTGCAGAACTGAAACTTTAATAATTGATAATTGCTGTGGTTTCCTCTCTCTTATTATTTTTTTTTTAAATAAAAATTATCATTTATATTTATTAAATGTATTCATTTTTGCATAATTTCTGGACATTAGTGTTTTTATTTATCATCATCATCATCATCAACCATAGTTACTGTATCTTAATGTAACATCAATATGAAAAATGCTTTTACAAAATCTGTGACAATTACACCATGCATGGATGGGGGGTCTGTTTATTGCATTTTTATTTATTCTTTTATTGTTATGCATTTTTGTATGCATTATATCCTATTTGCATCAAATTAAAAAGAAATACTTCATGTGCAAGGCATTTGAAATGCAGCATCTATGAGGGCAGGACAGTAAATTTGACATTGATCTCTCTTCTGGCTGCCATTATCAGTATCGCATTATTTTTTTCATCTTTCTGAAAGTCTTGATAACACCATCAAGTTCTTCTTTTATTATTTTCTTTTAATAACATCCACTGTTGAGAAGCCCTGAAATATGAAAAGGGTCCACAGGGATTATTAGTAGAAATGCAGTGGTTCTCGGTTGTTCTCCCACAGGTCAGTGCACCCTGTTATCCGCGGTTTAGAATATGCATTATTAATATTGGTTTGATAATAAAACAAATGCAACAAAGCAAAAAAGTTCCACTTTTGGACGCTTCCGATGACCTTTCACATGCACTGAAAGTGCAAAGATCGGTCCAATCACTGCTAAGTATTTAAATAAGTTGACATCACGTTTCTTCACGTGTCGCTGTGTGTGGAGTTTTTGTGCGTTTCAGTATGGCAAGTGAATGAGATCCAGCACAAATGCACAGGTGAGGCCAAATAATTAGCACATTGCTGTGAGTGTCTAAATTTACATGAAGTGTTTGTTGAAACGGACACAAAAAAAATAACAAATGCTGATTTTTTTGTTGTCGTTGCAAAGATCGAGGTTCCGTGTCCCATACAGATTCAGACCTGCGCAAACTATAGGCTGTATGTCCGTTACTTCAGTCCCATCCTGCTGGGGGTTATTCCGCACCCAATCGCTCCCACTATACAGTATATGCATTCAGTTTACCCACTGTCTGTAAAGAAAAAGTTCTACTGCGATGTTCTGCTAAATTAAGAGAGTAGTGCTGAATGCTCGTTCGTTGCTTAAGTTTCATTCACTACAGTGGTGCTGATAAGTGGTAAAGGAGCACTCTCTAATCTGTCACTAAAAATGCATTGTTGCCTTGGTAATGCAAGCATAATGTAAACAGAAGCAATTAATTCTCCAAAAGTGCTTAATTATTAAGATGTGTCGACATAATTATCTGCATAATTAGTTGAGACTGTTGTCAAGATGTAAAATAGAAAAAAAAGAGGAAATTTAAAAACTTTTTATTATTTTACTTGAAAATACAAGTTTCAAAATGCCCTACTTTTATTTTAAGCGAGAACATGCAAATGTAGAGTGTGAAGCTGTTGTATTGTCAGATGTTTCTTACCCAATAAATGTGTATATATATATAAATAAATAAATAAAATGCGTGTAGGTTTATCACATACATAAATATATATAATACACATACTACGCCATTTATTTTGGATGCGAATAATTGCGATTGATCTTTGTCCTGCACTAATTTAAAGGGATGGATCATCTGAATACTAAAATTATTTACTCATCAAGTGGTTTTAAACATTGAGTTTTTCCTTTTAAATGCACAAGATAATATTTAGAAAAATGCTGGAAAACTTTCCGTAGTACAAAAAAAAAAATTAAGTTAAGGGTTACAGATTTTCAGGCTGTATGCAATCAAGAAACTTATAAAGGATTGGAACCAATGAGGGCAAGTAAATAGTGACATTTTCATTCAATGGTGTACTACCCTTTTAATCATTTGGTGTTTTTGTAATTTTTAACCCAACAGTTTTCCCAATAATCCCAGAATGATTTTAACCCAATCTATCCAGACACACAAATGTCTTGCTCTAGTAAAGTGAAACACTTACACTGGCTCTGGCTCTGAGAGTAGTGGTCTCTTTGAGGGGGACGGTAGTTTCCTTGGTGATAGTTTGTGGGGGGCGGGGCACTGCTGTAAGCTCCACCCCTACGATGAGCATCAGAAGGCGGACCGGAGCCATAGATACCCGGCCCATCACTTCTGCCCACATGGTGACTGAAAACAGAGGGAGAAACACACATTGAAAGACTCAACAATAACGTTCATTTAAAAATATCTATATACATCATGATTACGTTTTACAATAAGGTTGTAATAGTAAATACATTAACATTAAACACAAACAATAAACAATACATTTATTACTGTATTTATCTTTGATCATGTTAATGGAAATAAAGTTGTTCATGTCAACTCAGTGCATTAACTAATGTTATTCATTTATTTTTTTACATTTTAATAATGCATTAGTAAATGCTAAATCTTGTGATCTCAATTTACTCACCGTGCCAAGAACACACTTTAAAAAAAACAAGGTGATCGAGCATTTGCAATTGCTGGACCTAAATTTTGCCACACATCAGACTTTCACCCTCTATTTCTGTGTTTAAGTCTGTTTTAAAGACCTATTTTCTCTTGCTTTCAAAACTGCTTCAACACCGTTTTATTGCTTTTACTTTGGCCAACTTCAGTTGTTTTTAAATGTAATAATACATAAATATTGTAAATATGATTAATAAATGCAGTAAAAGCATTGTTGATTATTGGTTCATGCAAGTTTGTATATAACACCTTGTAAGTTTCTATTGCTATTTTTATGGGAAGAGAGCATACTGAAGATATAGACCGTATTAAGGTTTTACACTAATTTCACTGTAAATGTATTTGGATTAATTGGTGTTACAAATTGCTTCATAAGGAGGAACTAAATAAAATACCTTCCACACAGAATTGAATTCAACACAATTGAATAAAACGTGTTTAAAAATAGGGCTGGGCGATATGTAAAAATGCAATCTCGATTAATTCTTTTACATATTGAACAATCACAACATACATTTCAATACAAGTTGTTAATGCTTTTAGATTTAAAAAGAGTACCCCAACAATGACTAAAGCCACAATAATTAGAGGGTCCATTAAATTGCATAACATTTTCGGTGGCCATAAATTTGGTAAATCTCTAATATCAACACACTTCTAGATTCCCAATGTTGTACATTTCTGCTGTGTGTTTGGCTCTTAGAACAATATAGAGTAAAACAGTCCAGTGCTGATCATTGTTAGACATAAATTTGATCATAATTCGATATAATATTGTTTATCGGTCCAGCCCTACTTAAAAGGTTAAAATGCTTTAACAAATAGAGCATGCGGGAGGATGTTATCCAAGGGGTTAAAACTTGTCATCATTACTTTCATGATCAGTTTTACAGCGTGAAAAAAAAACAATCCTCTTACCATTTGGAGAACTTGTATAGGAGTTTTTCTTTCAGCATTAGGGCTAATTTAATGGATTTTAGTTCATGTGAGTAAACGCATTAGCCTGAATGAAATTTGAAACATTTGGTGAGTTTATTTAGTTAATGAAATTACTTTAAGCACGTAAACTACTTAAAGGTGTAGTAGGTGATTGTCTTCAGTAATGATTACAGTGAATGATCTAAATGTATTTATATGTATTTGTATATTCTGGGTAAGGCATAAAACAAAAAAATGTTCATCAATGAGCAGATAATACCCATATTTCTGACAAGTAGCCCAAACTGTCTGTCAAAAAAATGTAAATTTGTAAGAAACCATTTCAAATCCTGAATCAGTATTGGAGTTACTTTTGCACACTGGAGGAAGGCCGACACTATAGCTGAAGTATTTCTTTTAGATCGGTAATGTTTTAATAATATTTTGGTCATGCAAAGCTTATGTAGATTGGGTTGTTTTTTTGAATGGGTTATATGTACAGAAGTGTTGTTCAGCCACTGAAATTTTCTGGTGGAAGACTGATGTGACTAAAATATAAGGGACCTGTTACAGCATGAATAATGTAGATTTTAATTTAGTTTAACAACAAAACATAAGTAAATAGCGCTACTCCGCCTAACCTGCTTTACTGAAGTTGCTTCTATATTTACATTGGTTCACTGTTGAATAATGACAGCCTGTGATGCACTCCCTATATTGTTTACTGCTACTCTGAATATTCTGTATGAAATAGCATGCAAGTATGGCTTAGTAACAAGTGTGACTTCTGCACGCCACCGACCAACCACTAAGCATACAGTAGTAGCTTTAGGACAGAGACCAGCAATCCTTACATGTATGAAATTTTGCACATTATGACAAGTTTTGCATGCTACACAACTGAAAATGTCCTAGATATAATAGAGTTTTTCATTGAAAATTGTGGCATTAAAAAAAAAACTATAATGATTTCCAACTGATGAATGACATGATCAAGTGGGTTGGCTACGGTCATCTTTACGGTGTGAGTTCGTGATTTCAGAAGGCGTGGCTTTGGATGGAAGGGTAGGGACTGTGTTTTTAAAGATACTATGCTAACGTGTTGCATTTTGGCAGATCACCTACTGCACCTTAAACTACGGAGAACACAAAAGCGAGCAAAATAATTGGTCACTTTAGAGGTACAATTTGTACTGTAAAAACATTAAGACTTAAGATTAAAGTGGTAATTTGCTGCTTATTAACAGCTAATAAAATAGTAGTTGGGTATGGAGTAGAATGAGGAATGTAGAATAAGATCACACTTTTTAAGTACCATTAAACAGTGTTGGGTAAAATTACTTTTAAGAGCAATAATAGAATCTTAAAGCCAACTAAAATATATGAAAATTTCAGATTTTTCACAATTCTTTACTTTAAAAAAAAAGTTACTGCTACTTGGTTACTTTAAGTGACTTAAAGTTGATATTACTTTTAAAAGTAACTTTATTAACACAATTAATGAAAGTTCCAATACCTTATTAACAACAACAACAACAACAACATGCTAGCGGGAATTAGTATTTAACTAAAGTGTTAGCAAAAAAATGTATATATGAAAACCTGAAAAAAAAAAAAAAACAAGATAACGGTGCTTTTTGTTTGGAAAAGGTATGTCTGTCATGATATCTATTTTTTTTGTTGTACGATATATTGCACTAAAATATATTGCAATAAATGTTATTATTAAGACATTATGAAAGTACACGCTTCCAAAGAACACATTTTATTCTTTTGAATATCTAATTTAGTCATTTTAATTATTTAATACTTAGGAATAATTAGAAAAACATATCCTAAATAATAATAATAGTAATATTAATAATAATTACAACAACAACAACAACAACAACAACAACAATAAATGTAAAAATAAAAAAGTGCTACGTAAAAAGTAACAGGCTTCGATATCTGTTACAAGATCTATTTTCATTTGTCATGCACCCACATGAAAATAGTCATTTATGTAGTAAATACTAGTGTTGTTTTAACCATACGGACACCTCCAATAGAGATAGAGACATTGCCCAATCAGCTAAAGTGTTGCTAGAATGGTTAAGTAAAGTGTTAAAGTGGCACTAAAAATGAGACCGTTTCATTTTACTGTTTTTAAAAAAAAAAAATCACTGAACTGTTTGAGCAAGACCAATGCAGTGTCCAATCAAACAGCTTTCATTAAGAAATTAAGTCTTTGGTAGGCATTCATCAACACCGATCTGTCCCCAAAACACCATGAATAATTCATCTGTCGTCACTGAATCCCGAATTCTCCAGATGTTTAATTAGCCCGTTTTATTGAACCAACAACTGCACTGATTTGATTTATTTTTACACAATGCCACTTTTAAAAACATGGGTAACCACAAAATAGTTTAAAAGATCATTGGCAAACCTTTTGCCCAATCTCCAGTCATTTATTTTCTCAACAGTAAAACTGATCTACACCTTTAAAACAGTGTTACACCTTTGTACTTATCTGTCAAGAAAACTTTGTGGTCCTCTCCTAACATTCATTCGGTCAATATTTGGATGAATTAGATTGACATTTTCTAACCAGTAGAAAAACTGACTTATGACTTAGAATTGGATGGTTTCTGGCATATCTGGAATTCTCTATGGGAGTGTCTGGAGAATAAATATTGAAAGTATATTTTTTGTTAATTTTAACCTTTAAAAAAAGATTTTAAATACTAGCATATTGTTGATAGTAAAATAGACCAGTGATTCTCAACTGGTGGGTCGTGGCCCACTAGTGGGCCTCCGCGATCCTGCAGGTAGGCCGTGAGGTAGCTTAAACTTAACACTCAATATTATACTATAATTATAGTTATCTCTTTTTGCATGTTTTTATCTTTTTTGTTATATGTAACTTTACTGTTTCTGTATGTGTAATGACGTGTTTTTTTATTTTAGGTTGCCCTTTAAAATCTGGCAGGGGGCAACAGATGAAAATTACCGCCTTGTGGCTAACTCTGGCTTATTTACAGTTTTACTGTTGATTAATGAGCATTGTCCCTGTTAAAATAAATTCAAATTATTTTCTTAATATGCTATAAAAAAATGATCGAAGTAATGCACTCTCATGTTCTTTGATTATTTATATATATATATATATATATATATATATATATATATATATATATATATATATATATATATATATATGTATATTTCTTTATTTAACCAGATAAAATCCCATTGAGATCAAGGTCTCATTTACAATGGTGACCTGGCCAAGAGGTCCGCAACACACGATTTATGAAAAAAAAAATTAAATAATGATAATAATATTAATAATCATTAGAAAATTTATATAATATAAAAATACAGCTCAGTTGTTCAGCTTTACCACATTACAATATAATAAAAACCATTTCTTCAACTGAGTTATGTAACAGCTTCCTGTCTTTTTTTGAAACAAAAATTGAGGACATTCATCATCAATTACATACAAATATTTCAGCCCCTGACTTCAGCCAAAATGTTTCTGAAATCATCACACATTTCTCTTTTGATACTTTTACCTTACCATCTACTGCTGAAATAGTTGGTCATATACAGAAATCTAAAACTACCAACTGTCTGCTTGATCCACTTCCTACATGCTTAGTTAAGACCTGTCTTCCATTATTGTCCAAACTGATTACTAACATTATTCACAAATCACTGGATTCTGGATCTGTCCCATCTTTACTTAAAACTGCTGTAATCACCCCAGTACTAAAAAAACCTGGAGCTGATTCATCCAATTTGGCCAACTATAGACCAATTTCCAATTTGCCATTTATCTCAAAAATACTGGAAAAATGTGTTGCATCTCAACTCCATAAATACCTTGCTAATAACAATTTGTTTGAGCTCTTCCAGTCTGGTTTTCGTCCCAACCACAGCACTGAGACTGCTCTTGTCAGGATCACTAATGATCTACTATTGGCAGCAGACTCTGGTTTACTGTCAATTCTTATTCTCCTGGACTTGAGTGCAGCCTTTGACACGGTTTCGCACGAGGTTCTTTTGAATAGGCTTGCCTCACTAGGGATCTCTGGCACCCCTCTTTTATGGTTGAAGTCATATCTTGAAGATCGTACTCAGTTTGTTCAAATTAAAGATTTTAAGTCAAGATCGCAGATTGTCACTACTGGTGTCCCACAGGGTTCTGTACTGGGTCCACTCCTGTTTATCATATATCTACTGCCTCTTGGTCACATTTTCAGAAAATACAACATACAATTTCACTGTTATGCTGACGACACTCAACTCTACCTGTCCACCAAGCCCTCCTGTTCTTTTCCTCCTCCTGCTTTGAGCAGATGTTTAGCTGAAATAAAAATCTGGCTTTCAGCTAACTTTTTAAAATTAAACAGCGACAAAACTGAAGCCCTTCTCATCGGCACTAAAAGTGTTTTGGATAAAGCTGATAAATTCACTATAAACATTGATAACAGTACAATTTTTCCCTCCATGCAGATAAAGAGTTTGGGTGTCATCTTGGATAGCACACTCTCATTTGAAGGTCACATTAATAATATTACACGTACTGCATATTTCCACCTGCGTAATATCACTCGTCTCCGCCCTTCTCTCACAACTAATAACACAGCAATTCTCATCCACGCATTAGTTACTTCACGTCTTGACTACTGTAATGCACTTCTTTCTGGACTTCCTTCCAAACTTCTCCATAAACTCCAACTGGTTCAGAACCATGCAGCTCGTGTCATCTCTAGGACCCCATCTCACGAGCACGTCACACCACTCCTCTATCAGCTTCATTGGCTTCCAGTAAAATATCGAATTGATTTTAAAATATTACTTCTAACTTTCAAGGCACTCCATAATCTCGCTCCTCAATATCTCACTGAACTTCTCCATATCTACACCCCTTCTCGTACCCTTAGGTCAGCTAACAACTTCACTCTGGCACCACCTCGCACTCAACTGAGCACAATGGGAGACAGATCTTTTAGCTCTATGGCTCCTAGGCTATGGAACTCACTTCCATTAGACCTTAGGAGCAGTGATAGTCTTCACAATTTTAAATCACGTCTAAAAACCCATCTTTTTAAGCAGGCTTTTACTTAACAATTTTTTATCATGTTTTTATTATGTTCTTTTTCGCTATTGCGTTTTAACTTGTTTGGTCATTGATTGTTTTTAGTAATGTTTAAGTTGTTTAGCATGTCTGATGATGCTTACTGTAAGGCGACCTTGGGTGTCCAGAAAGGCGCCATTTATAAATAAAATGAATTATTATTATAAAATTATAAAAACACAAGCTTCAGACGCGCTCTGACAGAGCCATTTACTGTTCCTGTTAGTGATCTGCAAACACAACTGCCATCAGATCGATGCGATTCAACAGATTTAGGGTATTGTACTGTATTTTACATTTGTCTGTGTATTTTTGAATGGAAGATATTTAATAGTAGATATCAGTCAGACCAGTTTCAGGCAGAAGCTGCTCTTTTGCAATCTGCCAGTTGTGTGTGTGTGTGTGTATATATATACATGTATATATATTTGTTTTGTTTTTTTAAATAAATTGTTTTCATTTGATATTTATTTATATTTGGTGATTTTTAAAAGTCAAATTACGATATTTTTCCACAACCAACAGAATATAAAGTTATTAGTTGCATAAAAAAACAATAGCCTTTTGATTTTTTCACTGTATCGCGACCCCTGAGGTGATTACATTATATTAAAGACACAGCAATGGCATCAGATCGATTTTAAGCATCAGGTTAAACATTGACACCATTTACAGCAATCAAATAAAACTAATTAAAGAATAGACTTGAGGCTATTGTGGTGTGTGCACTGCTGCATGAATGTTTCATGTTTATAGTCACTTCAGAGAATATTGGGGGTCGAGTCAGTAACCGTTTTTTTAGAGGTTGCAGGTTGAAAAAAGTTTAGGAACCCCTGCTTTACAAGATTATTCATGCTTAGTTAATGTCAGTTAACTAGTGTTAACTATTGAAAAAAATATTCTAAAGTGTAACTAAAACATCAAATCAACTAAAAACACAGATTGATTTTCTTACTTGAGTTTTCTGAAAGCTGATTGGTCCAGATGGGCTTGTTGGCGGTTTGGATTGAATCCCAGCTGTGGTCTCCATGGGCCGCGGTTACTTTGCTCCCAGTCACCTGGTTTCAGTACCTTATTAGGGATCCTGGAGCACGAAATAACACATAAATGCTAACCCTTACAGAAAAAGCTCATTTATGCATTATCAATAAATAGTGCAGCACTTACTTAGCCCCTGGCAGGATAACAGCCTTGAACACAAAGCCATCGGCATACTGCGGATCCTTGAATTTGATTCTGCAGACAAAAATTGTCAGCATTTAAGTGCAACACTGGATATTTAATAATCAAGGGCCGTTCAGATGAACAGCATCAAGGGTAGAATTTAGACCAGGCACCTTTAAATAACTACACTTTAAAACTGTTATAGTTTTATCATAAAATCTATAAATAAATAAAGTCAAGCACAAGTACATAAAGTATAAAAATAAAATTTATATAAAATGATTATGTAAAACATAAAACTGTATAAAATATAGAATTTATTCTAAAATTATATAGAATTAAATCTAAGCAATTAGAATTAAACCTAAAAATAAATGTAAATATAAAAATAAATAAATGTAAATCTAAAGTAAATAAAAAAATTTAAATTAATAAAATAAATAGTTAAATATAAAATTTGTGTAAAACATTATAAGTATAAAATGATAGAATTAAATTAAATTATAGAATTAAAAATGTAAAAAAATAGAATTAAATCCAAAGCAAATAGAATCAAAGAAAAGTAAATTGTAAAAATAAAAATTTTATGATAAAAAAAGTAAATAGTAAATATAAAATAAGCGTGTAAGTCTAAAATAAAACAGAATAACTAAAATTATATAGAATTAAATCTAAAAAACTGAATTAAAATCTAAAACAAATAGAATTAACCATAAAAATAAATGACAGTAAATAATAAATAAATATACAACAAGTGAATAGTTAAATATAAAATAAACGTATGTCTAAAATAAAATAGAATTAAATATAAAATTAAATAGAATTAAATTTAAGTAAACAGTATAAAATATAAAAGTAAATATAAAATAAATGTAAAATAATTGTCTAAAATATATAATTTGATATAAAAAATTAAATCTAAAAGCAAATAAAATCAAATCTAAAAAATTAGCTAAATAGCTAAACATAAAATTTACCATTTAAAAATATATAAATAAGAGAAAAGCACTTCAAAGCTCCACACAAAGCAAACTCTTACCCAATAGCGCAGTTGCTACTGATGTCTCTCAGCACTGGGATTGGAGACTCCACTAGTCTGAGGAGAACAAAAGCCATGTTTCACAGGATTTGAAAAGCTTAACTCTCAAGTGCCTCAACAGACACAGCCCAAGTAATGAAAACACAGAAAAGCATCAAGAAACAAAAGATAAACGTGTCGTCTCCTTACTTATCTGGTAGAATAGGGTCTTCATCAAGATTTAATATACCTTGGATTCCATGACAAAACTCTGCAGGGATCTCAGTGGCCTTGAAGAGAAAGATTGGGAAATTACTGACTGACAAGCTAATATATAATAATATATATAATAATATAAGTATCATTTATTTACACTAGTACAAATAAATCTATTATTTAGGTAATAAATCAAATCAGGTTAAAATTGAGATCATTATAAACAAAATTAAATAAAAAAATAATTAAAATAAATAAGATTAAATCAATAAAAATAAATGAAAATAAATAAATAAATGAAAACAAATGAAAATACAATAAAAATAAATGAAAATAAATAAAATGAGAAATAAAATAAATGAAAATCAATAAATGAAAAAAATACAATTAAATAAATAAAAATAAATGAAAATCAATAAATGAAAAAAATACAATTAAATAAATAAAAATAAATGAAAATAAGCAAAAATATAATTACATGAAAATAAATTAAATAATGAAAATTATTAAATAAAAAATAAATAAATTAGATGAAAATAAATAAGTAAAAAAAAAGATTATAAATAAAAATAAATGAAATAAATAATAAAATGAATAAAAAAAAGATTTATTAAATGAAAATATTAACTTAAATAAAAATTAAACGCACGAAATAAATAATTGAATAAATAAAATAAAAAAATTAACTAAATATGCATGAACAATGTTCCTAGTTCTAGACTAAATGCAAAAAAAACAAAACTTTATTTTAAGCCGAAATCAAGATTTCACTTACCCTACTAGTAGATTTGGCTTAATATAAAAACTTAATTCAAATTATTAATTAACTTTTGAAATCAAAACATTTTTACAAAAAATGTTTCTTGATTTAAAAATTTAGATATTTGGTCTAGAAACAAGGCAAGCAAAAAACAGCTCACACTGATTTTTTTATAACCCTGAACGATTGCAGCATGTCAGACTGCTTAAACATGACTCCCATGTCACACTGTAAGATCTCTAAGAGCTGTCAAAATGTCTGGTATTGCAACTGGTATTAAGCAGCTGTCTGTAAACATGCCGAACCAACAATCAAGGATCACAGATTTTAGCCTAGGATTTTAGGAGTCTTTTAGGATTTGCCAAATTGTTTTCAGATGACAAAATCGTGCGGCTGAAATCTCACAGTATGAGCAGGGCTTAGGAAACAAGTTAAGTTTTTGAAGTGCGCACTGCATTTCTTTTTTAAAACTTAGTTTGGAGTAACAACAATACAGAAAATAAGAACATTATAAAAAAATTATTACCTAAATCATTTTCCGGCAATCATAACTCAAACTCCTGAGGTAATTTAGTTGGTAATGCTTTGCAATAATGTACCATTGGTTAATGTTCAACAATACCTTATTTTCTTTAATATACATTACTTTTAACATTAATGAAAATAAAGTGTCATTGAGATCATTTTTGTTAACAAACCTTTATCACTATAGCAGGGTTCAACACTAAAGATTTTTTCTACTGGCCCGATTGCTATTACTCTGAAGAGTGGAGTAATAAAGCTGAAAATTCATCTTTAAAATCACTGGAATAAATTATGAAATTAAATGATAAACTACTTTTGAACAGTTATTTTATAGTGCAACATTTAACAATTTTGCTGTATTAATGATATAATAAAGGCAGCCTTGGTGAGCAGGAGAAGCTTATTTTAACATATTAAACAAACATACTGACCCCAAACTTGAGCAGTTGTCTATCAAAAAAAAAAAAAAAAAAAAAAAAAAAAGACTTTTCCAACGGTTCCTTACTGAGAGCTCCCCTCTGCTCGAGCTCTCCCGGCTAAACGCAGATTGCGAGGGCTTAAACGGAGCAGTGCTCGTAATGTCGAGTGAAAAAAAAAAGAAAAAAAAAACAGCTGTGAAACATCACCAGCTTTGTCTTTTTGTAGGAAACACACTAGATCTTATTAGGGTCAGGTTTTTGAGTTATTGCAGTCCATCACTGAATGTGTCAGGAATAAGTTATCGAAAACAAAACTAACCTAACCGCGCTGCCCATCGTTTTCTCTTCGCATAGCCGTATATATGGCTATTACACAATCATAATACACTGTGATATAGCCTGGTTTGTTAGTTCGTTGCGTTGTTTTGTTTTCTCACTACAGTCAATCCACTCAATCGAGCAGAGACCATCTCATTCAGGTGATCTCAGACTGACTGATTAGGCGCGGATGTGGCCCGGGCCATCGGGCAGTCCTTATTGTCGAGCCCCGCTATAGACTTACATACAAACTAATAATTCAGTTCAATACACAGCGTACAGACATGTTTCTTTACATTGTACTATTATTTTAAATTCTTAAAATAAATTTAACATCTTCACACATTTAGTTCACATTTAGTTAATGCGCTAAGCACAACTTTGGATTTTAATCTTGCATTAGTAAATGTTGAACTAGAATAAAAAAAATCTAAACAAAAAGTGCTTCAGGGGTAGTTAATGCATCTGTGCTCTTTGCAAAAGGATTTCATAAGGACAAAACAATGAAATCAAATCCAAGACACTCAAAGTAAGAGAAGATTACAAAAAAAAGTCTTCATTAACATATATAATGTTATATACATATAACATCAGAAAGATCCGACCCTTCTTATCTGAACATGCAGCTCAACTCCTTGTTCAAGCTCTTGTTCCCTCCAAACTGGATTACTGCAACTCTCTACTAGCGGGGCTTCCAGCTAACTCTATCAAGCCTCTTCAGCTGCTCCAGAACGCAGCAGCACGAGTGGTCTGCAATGAACCTAAACGAGCACATGTCACTCCGCTGCTAGTCCGTTTGCACTGGCTGCCAGTTGCTGCTCGCATCAAATTCAAAGCTCTGATGTTTGCCTACAAAGTGACTTCTGGCCTTGCTCCTTATCTGCTCTCACTTCTGCAGATCTATGTGCCCTCCAGAAACTTGCGTTCTGTGAATGAACGTCGCCTTGTGGTTCCATCCCAAAGAGGGAAGAAATCACTTTCGCGAACGCTCACGCTCAATCTGCCCAGTTGGTGGAATGAACTCCCTAACTGCATCAGGACAGCAGTCACTCGCTATTTTTAGGAAACGACTAAAAACTCAACTATATAGTCTCCACTTCACTTCCTAATCTGCAATTGCCTCTCTGAATATCACACTAACTGTACCCAAAAAAAAAAAAAAAAAATTATATATATATATTAAAAAAAATTATATATATATTAATACTACTAATACTTCCCTTCTTAGACTTTACAGACCTGAAACTTGCCTATAGCACTTATTCATTGTTGCTCTTAGTTGTGTAAATTGCTTCCTTGTCCTCATTTGTAAGTCGCTTTGGATAAAAGCGTCTGCTAAATGACTAAATGTAAAAGTACATGGCTATTCATTGAAAGCTGCACTATGCGATTTATTTTTTTCTATCTTTGAGTACCATGGACTTATGATTTCATTGTTCATTATTAGTTCAATGTGAGTGAATACACTAATATTAAGCAACGATTGTAAAGTGTGACTGTTCAGTTGGATTAATGTAGATCAGTACCGTATGAGATTCTGCACGGTAGAGCTCCTGGATGAAATCACAAAGAGCGTGAGACCTTCCCACAAACATCACATCACTCCCCAAACTGTTCCTCCTCACTGCAAACACGCATCAGACAGTACAGTCAGATTACAATTACAACAGTAAAAAGAAAAGAAAAAGCATAAACACAAGTAAAACTCATAGCGTAATGTGAGGGAACAATCATGCACAGCAGTGTTCAAGAGAAGTTTATGCAAAAGATGTACATCGAATTTATGTTGGACACAAAGGAAAATTTACTGAAGAAAAAAAAAAAAAAAAGAAAACAGCCATTGATTTCCATCGCTTTTTCTTTTGGTTTCTACTATGGATGTCAAAGGCTGTTTTCCTCCACCAACATTTCCAGCAACTTACTTACTTTATTATTGGTAACACTTTACAATAAAGGTGTATTAGTCAAATCTGTAAGTTAATAGTTAATTTAGTAACATGTTAACTCTGTGCATTAACTAGTGTTAGCAAGCATGAATTAGGAAATTAATAAAGCATTAGTAAAATTTAAACTATGATTAAAGTATTGTTCATTATTAGTTCATGCAAAGAAAAAATAATAATGACATTAAATAATGTAAATAAAATGAGTAAATATAATCTTAAAAAAATATATCTTTTTTTTATTTTTCAACTTTGACTAATCAAGCATTGTTCATTTTCAGTTTATGCAAGTTATTAATATATTAACTAACAATAATGTTATCTTAGTTGTGGAAGTGTGGTGAGTTTTTTTTTCTTTTGCATGTTGGTCACACTTCATCAAATGAACTTAAATATTACACAAGGTTAACACAACTGTGTATTTGGTTGGCCGCCCACTCATAGGAAGGTTCTCCACTGTTATACTTGTTTGCAATTTGAATATAAAGACTCTCTCTGTGTTTTGCTGCAGTCCAAAAGCTTTAGTAATGGATTTATAATCTTTTCCAGACTGGTAAATCTCTATTTTTTGTCTCAATTGTTTAACTTATTTGGATCTCTGCATTATGTCTAACTTTTGAGGATTTTTTGGTCTACTTCCCTATGGCCGTTTCTCAATTTGCGTTCTTTACAGTTCCTGCCATGTGTTCTTTTGTAACATTATCATCAACCACCAAAATTTTGTTCCAATACTCAAGATCGAAAAAACAGAGGGCGCATGAAAGTTCCTGGATGTCTATGCATTTTGGAATTTTGTTTTCCCTTTAATAATAAAAACTGCATGATGTGTTTACTCGTGTCATCGACTATTATTTAAATTAGTTTAAACATCTGAAACAGTAAAGTGTGACAAACATGCAAAACATTTGTTTCAGTAAGGGGGCAAACACTGACACAACTGTTTGTACACAAATATATAAAAACAAAATGTCCTGCAAAATTCTGGAGGGATATATTTGGAAATACAAGCATATAACTGGCCAGAGACTTCATTCAGACATTCGGTAATATAGTGTTATTGATTTTAAATGTACAAGTCTGACCTTCCTCTGGGGTCAGGTCATTGTAGACCTCTGCTAATGCGGCCCGTAACCTCCGCTCATCCACAAACGGTAACAAAGCAACACCTGTTAGACAGAGAAGAGCAGATCTCAAACATGGAAGAGATAACAGTATTCACTTCGTTCAAACTGTGAGGATCATAGACGAGTGCTGACCCTGCCAGGCGTACTTCTTCCCATTCAGATCAATGGCAAAGTCATCAGGGTAGAAATCAATAATGGAGGATTCCTGCACAAGACAAAGAGAAAGAATAACTGAAAAACTTGACACAGATGTGTGTCCGTTCAGATTATTAATGGTTGTGCAAGTCTTTTGAATATTTTCTTTGACTTGACTATTATTCAAGAATCTTTTTTTATACATTTAGAAAGACTGCTTGTCATAAATCCTTACAAAAAAGTCATGATTATGTTAATAATATTAAACTGCCTTCTTAAAATAAATGCATATTGCTCGTCACACCCATGTAAAGATTAATAGGTAAAATGAAAATTTAAACAATGGACAAAAAAATGATAGTTTAATATTTACCAGACAAAAATATAAAAATAAAGATTTATTAATACAAAAGAATAGCCAAATGCTTCTTTCACATTTACATGTGTATTTTTTTTTAAACTGAAAAAATAAAATAAACAGCCTTTTTTTTGGCCAAATTTCTAATGGAAAAATTAAAAATTCTACATATAATTGTTAATATTACATTTTTGAGAGGAGGGAAAACTGCTAATTGCTTATCTCGCACGTTTAATGAGGGTTAGAAGAGATGGTATTTGACCCCAAATGTATAGGTGACCATCGTCAAGTGGTTGTACATGACCATCCTATTGATCAGGCAGAAACCGATAAGTACTTGGGCATTTACATCAACAGTTCTTTCACATGGAAAACAAACATTGAGTGGGTTTGTTCTCGTTTACACCAGAGATTATAATTTTTACGGAGGTTGGAGTTTTTGGAGTTAACAAGGAACTGATGTTTTATAAAGAAGTATTTGAAATCATTGTTAGATATGGTATCAGTGTGGTTTGGCAACCTGTCTGTTCAGTGTAAATCTAAATTGATGCATCTCTTAAAGACAGCATGGAAAATTGTTGGGCACGATGAATATTTTAATCCTCGAGGTTTATATGAGAACTGCGTCCTCAATCAGGTGGAAAGGATTGTGAACTCATTTTTTGTTTCCACATTACGAACTGCTTCCCTCTGGTAGAAGATATAGAGTCATAAAGTGTAAGTTAAACCCGTATAAGAAATCCTTTGTACCGGTTTCAGTGAGTTTATTTAATAAGAGAATATCTTAATTAGAATTATAAATTTTGTAACTGTTGTATTTTGTATTGTTTATTGCTTGTTGCTTGTATTAGTGAATGACTGCAGCAATATGGCGATGCCCATAACAAATTTCCTGTCAAGGACAAAAAGGTTTACTACTACTATAAACAGAATACAAGTCGATGTACATATAAAAATATTTACTTTTACATAACCTAAACGGTCTCTGAGGTTTGCTTTGGTGGTTTCAGAGTTTCTCATTTAATTCAGTGTTTTCCTTATTGTGTTTTTTTTCTCACTTAAATCAACTAGAAATTCTGGTAACAACAATATGGCACACGCTGTTAAAGTATTTACTAACATGAACTTAATTTAAAAATACTCGTCCGGCATTTATTACTGACAGTTCAACATTTACTAATGCATTATTAAAATCCTAATTCATGCTTGTTAACATTGGTTAATGCACGGTGAGTTAACATGAACTAATGGACAATAAACAATGAATGACTACTTTCATTAACTAACATCAACACATTTTACATTGTTCATTCAGGTTAGTAAATACTTTACACCAGGGGTCACCAATCCCGGTCCTGGAGGGCCGATGTCCCTGCAGTGTTTAGCTCCAACACCTGCCTGGGTGTTTCAATTATACCAAGTAAGACCTAGATTAGCTGGTTCAAGTGTGGTAATTAGGGTTGGAGCTAAAATCTGCAGGACACCGGCCCTCCAGGAACAAGTTTGATGACCCCTGCTTTACACATTGTTTCCCGAACTGTAAAGTGTTACCAAAATTCAAAGTGAAATTTGAGTAAATAAAACGAAACTGTTTCTCATTTTTACACCAGTTTTGAAGCAAAGTTATATACCTATAATACAAGGGATCTCCCTCTGGTCCAGTGTTATTCAACTAGTCAAGCAGTGCCATATTGTCTGCATGTTTAAATAAGATCCAGGATTGATGTTTTAACTTAAATTGATGTGCAGCAAGAAGTAAGGGTGATAAAAACGCTTTCGTGTGAAACTCCTGTATTCACTGTGTTCATTATGGAGGTTTAACGCGTGTGCTGCTGGGGATGTTTTCATCCACTCTTGGGTGATATTAAGTCTATTTAAGCAGAACTTTATCAGCTAACAAAAAGATATTTGGTGACAAATCCTATCGTAAAACATTTGGGCAAAATGCTTTGAAAATGCTCAAAATAACAATACACCTTGCAGAAAACGACTACCCTTTATTATGTTGGTGGTAGGCACGGGACCGTTTTCAAGGTTTAACGCTGTTTGGAAAACTTTTGTTATACCATTCCTACTGTATTTGTAAGTTTTTTTTAAATTTTTCTTTGTTAAATATTTGTGTTTTTTTAACAAATATATTATTTGGTTGTTTTAGGGCAAAACAGGATCCTTTCACTTCTAAAACTACTGTTTTAAAATATTTTAAATGTTTCTTAAAATAAAATAGTGTTTAATAGGGGAAAATGTTGTTGATTTTTTTCCCTGGCATTTAAAAAGAACAAAGAGCAGTAATTACAATACCAGGATACAGTGAAACTGTGATTTTTTTTTTTGTCCAAGGTTATAATACCGTCAGAATCTTATACCAGCCAATGCCTAGTTGGAGGCTGCTTTTGCCCCATTGACTTTCATTATAATGACTTTTTTTTTTTTAATTGCAAACCCATGACACCATTTAATCATGCATTCTTGAATGTTGCTGGTTGGAGATAAAATGTCATTTTTCATCATCAGTTGCAGTTAGGGATGCTTAAAATAATTGATTAACAGTTAACAAAGGGTGCGTTTGTAACCGATTAATGGTATCAGTTAAAAGATTATAAATTTTATTTTATATATTTTTAATTTGGCTGCATAAGGGGCCGATTGAATGTGCTTTTTGCGTTAAGAGGGGCATCTTTTGAATGAATTACTAAAAGCCGCAATTGTTTTGCATGCGGCTAAACCCAAAGCAGCAGTTTGTACTAGTGCTAGCTGTTTGAAGTTATCCAGAGCTGTATGAATTTACTAATCTTGAATAATCACAATAGTATTAAACATTACAATTGTAACAACATGGACAGCAACACACTTGCGTTATCAATACACAGCCGATTCAATCGTTTCAGTGACCAAAAAAAAAAAAAAAAAAAAAGAGAGGGCCGCGGCTTTTTTCCTTGTCAAAGGGAGCGAGGTGCGAAAATCATGTTTGCTCTTATCAGACATATTTGTTAACTCAAGAGACGATAACGTGCAACCACACGTGTCTACAGACATATTTGCCAAAGAAGCAAAATGGAAGAATATTGCTGTTTGATATAGACGAGTTGATGCCAAACCAGCGCTGATGCTGATGGCCCCTGGATCTGCGTCATGAACGCAACAAATAGGCTTTAGCTTTCATTTTACAGCTTATAAAGCATGTATGCAAATTAATGCAATATTATATTTAAACAACAAAACTGTGTACAAAAAGTCAACATATGCGAGCGTTGTCATTGTCTTTTCATCACGCAGTGCGCGTACTTGACAGAGGAAAGCATAAATCAAGACATAGCTTAATCTTTAAAAGAATGATTTCTATTAAAAATGTAAAAAGGCTTCGTAATATAATAATAACAGTGGGGCATTAAATAAATGCATATTTTTCGTGGAGCAAGTGATTTGAGGAGGTCTGCTATTTTTATTTGACGAAAAAAAAAAAAAAAAAAACATGATAGGGGGAAAAAAAACAGCCTACGCCCATTCTTAAAAAGGATTCAATAAGTGTTTTCATTTTGTTCTCCAAATTAATTATTTAAGTGAAAATAATTTAGGTCAGGCCTATTTATTTTATCTGTTTTATTCTGTTTTTCTATGCCGTTGGAAACAAGCATGTGCGTGAAGATGCACTGTTCTTATGTTCTGTTATTAATATGCTAGCATGTTAAAATAAATCAGTATTTTAAAATGCAATATTTAATGTGTCAGACACAAAATAGACGATTTAATTTGTTTAAAATAAAATTAATAGTAATCTGATCAGTTAACCATTAAAAACCAATTAACGAGCGGTGAGTGTCGGTTAGCAAAATTAACCGAAATGAGCATCCCTACTTGCAGTGCAAAAAAGCTTAGTACCTGGCTTTCATAATCAGTTTAGCTAATGTCTTTAGCATTTTTATAATGTAGATTGTGTCAAAGCAGCTTAACATAATAGTTCTAGTAAAACCGAATCTGTGTCAGTCCAGTTTTCAGAGTTGAAGTTCAGTTAGGGTTGCATGATACTGGAATTCTATACATTGGAGCGTTTTAAAGCCGCAATTCATCAGCAGATCGCTCGTATTTCAGTTTATAGACAAAGCGGCTGATCGGCATGACTTTGAAATACTCCAGTGTTCCTGTATCTGTGTTTACACGGAGCAAGCAGCTGTGAGTTCGGTGAACTGATGAGCTTCACGGCCAATCACAGTCATTACTGTTGAGCACATGAACACAATGGCAAATCAACGTGCTAAATCAGGCTTTATATGGAGTTATACAGAGTAGAGTGTGAGTGACCTTTGCACAATTATCTTTAGATGTCTGAGAAAATCAAAATAAGCATCTCAGCCATCAGAACATGGTAAACATAGCGTTTATGCACACACAAATACTAATTATCTGTTATTCTCCATATAAAAGCCAGATTTTTTCTGCACAGGCCTATCTAAAGGATTAATGGTAATCAACAATGATGATCAACAGTAAAAATGACATTATATCTCTTCCCAAAAGGAAGCTGTAGCCATATGCTGTCATGGCCTTGCAACCAAAAAGTTCATTATAATTGAAGTCATTGGGACAAAAACAGCCCCCAACACAATGAAAGGGTAGTCCATTGTATCAATAAACATGGGATATTGCATGCAAACAGTTTCACAAATAAAAGGTGAATCGGTCTCTCACTGGGTCTGACATCAGAGCTCTCCAGGTTGTGGGCAGGAAGTTTCCGCTGGCGGCAGGAAACACACCCATCAGCTGCTCCAGGGGTTTAAACTACAGAATTACAGCAGTGTTAAACCAATCAAAAAACACAAACAAAACAAGCAACAGCATCAAAAACAAATCGGCCATAAGAGCCAATGCAATGAGTGTCAAATTACCGGTTTGGTCCCTTTCTCGAAATCACTGAACATGCCCTTGATGTCTTTGAAGTCGGAGGCAAACGGAGCATAATGAAAGGGAAAATACCACTTCCAGGATGCGCAACCCTGTGACATAAAAAAAAAGCACAGACACTTAGAGATGGTCTGTCGTACAACACAAAGATAAGTTGAACACATCTTCAGTTACTTCAATCAGAAATGCTCCATTTTTTAATGTTTTTTTTTTTTGAAAGACCTTCAATCCAAGTCATTTTTTTAAAGATCTCTTCCATTAGCCAGTCACACTCACAAGTTCAATGGGAGACCTTGATACACAGTCAGATTTTACAGCTCAATTAACACTCCAGAGGTCATTTAAACCAGAAAGTTTAAGAGAGCCAACGGGCCACAGCAAAAGACCCACACGCCATTCAAAAAGCTCATGAGAAGCAACATTTGAGGATTTTAGTCAACTGTGCTTTTAAGGTAATAAATATGCTGGAGTATTTCAAACATTTCCAAGTATTTGAAGTGGGGATACTGTCAAATGTACAATCCAAACATAACTGATCCATAAACGAACAGAAAATTGCAGGAGAAGTTGAGTTTTTAAATTGAGGTTTGCAGTAAATTAACTTCTGAAAATCTGCTTTTAAATAATGTCCAAATAAAAAATAAATAAAAATAAATTTAAAAAAAAGTTAGAAATAGTTTGGGTTTTGCCTAATCTTCAGAATGTAGATAGAACCTTATAATTCCAATGTGACAAGTGTAAAGCTGCTGAGGGTACCTTAGCACATTTTTGGCCAGAAATATTAGTTCTTTGCTAAAGTTTATGATTTACTCCCTGACCCAATAATAGCAATCTTTGGCTGGTCAGATTTTTTGAGACTCTCAACCGAAATGTACGGTTACCCATTTAGTATGGCAGGATCATAGCTTAAAAAAAAAAGTTATCCTTTGTTTATGGAAGAAAATTGTTAGGCCTCTCTTCTGACTGGCTTCTCGGACTCCCCACCACTTTACATTTGGAAAGAATTAGATATACCACCTCTGGGAACACCTCTGAAATTTGATAAAATGTGTGATCCAGTCTTGTTTTTTTCTAAAACACCATAAAGATTAATAGTGTTGTTTAATTGCTGAAGATTGCATGTTTTTTTTCTCTCTCTCTCTCTCTCTTTACATCCATTGCTGTGTCTTTTTGTAAGTCACATATGTTTTGTATGTCGCCATTTTCTCATTTCATGCCTAATCTGTGCAAAATGTAAAATAATGTTTTATGATGGGTTTGTCTGTCCTTTGTTTTTCTGTCTGCAAAAACTATAAAAAAAATATAAAAAAACAACAACTTTGTGGCTAGGTAAATATTTAATTTAATATTAATTTAATTGTTTTTTATTAAAATTTTCTTTTATTATTTATTTATTCATTCATTCATTTTATTTTTGAAGGAGAGGGAGGTTGTTTATAGGACAAAAGGGTTTAAAAATTGAAAAAATAAAAGTCTTGTCAAATCTTTGTATGTATTATTCCACCTTGTTCTTTCAATAAAAAAAAATAAATAAAATAAAATTTTTAAAAAGTTATAAAAAGAAAATAAAAATTTAAAAACTAAATAAATAACCCCCTCACATTTTATTTAGCTAAGGCATTTATGATGGAGAATCTCATTGGAGCTCCAGTGATGGAGTCATCCAACCTATTAATTTCACATATTTAAATTGACATTCAGTCAAGTGGCAAAAAGCAGAAAGGTGCAAGAAATCCACGCAATAGAAATTATACTCGTGACCCCTCAAATGAAAAAATAGACACCCTAATGTGGGTAAATAAAAGCCATGTGGAGATCTGCCCTGCGTTCTCACTCTGCAGTAATGCCTGCTCTCATCGGCCATTTGGCAGAGTCTATCAATGCGCGTGTCTGTGTGTGGGTGTGTGTGTGTGTGTGTGAGAGAGAGAGAGAGAATCAGAGAATATGTGGCAGAAGGGAGCAAAGGCAGCAGTGAGACTTCATAATGAATGTGTTCAGCGGTTCCCCAGAGATGCCTCTTGTCCGCCGAACACATGGATCGAGCGCAGACTGTGCATATATATAGAGCTGCAATTACCGCCGACAAATCCCTGCACACACAGCTCTAATCAAGCGCAGATCTACTGGAGAGAACAGAGCTCTAATGACTGAATTTAAAGCTAAAGATCAAGACCCTCGGCATTAAAACCCAACTAGATAACACTGACTGGCTCAAGGAGCAGCACAAACACAGCGCAAATCTGTTTGATCCCAAAAACCGCTGCACAAACAGATCAGGCCAGAGGAGGATGCGTTTTAACAGTTCCTGGATCAGCTTTAAAACAATGCGAGGGAAATGAAAGGGAGAATGTGAAGTTGGAAATAAATAAAACAAGCAATTGTGGTCTTACCTGAAGTAATATTAAAAATAAACAAAAACAAATCAAATTTAAGACCTTTAAGACAAATATGAATGAAATTTCAGACATACACAGGGTTAAACGCTAAAGATTTCGACTTCTTTAGGCACACATTTTAAATAAAATGTTATCAAAAGCAAACTTTAGTTGCATCCTTTTTTTATTTAACATAACCTTTCTTTTCTAAGAAAAATAAATATGATGAAAACTACAATAAACATGTACAACACACCTTCCAGGTCCGTGTTCTCGCTAGGCCTGTCACAATAATCAATATATCGATTTATCACACAGCACATGACCTTATGACCTTAACTACGGCTGGACGATATGTCAAAAATGCAATCTCGATTAATTCTCTAACACATTAAACAATAATGGAAAAATAATAAGTAAAAAATAATAATATTTTAAAATGTTGTAATAATAATATTAATAATAATATTAATAATAATAATAAGTAAATAATAATAATAATAATAATAATAATATGTATTTTAAATGTAATAATAATAATAATAATAATAATAATAATAATAATAATAATAATAATAATATTTAAAAAATTAACAAATAATAAAAATTGTAAAAAATAATAATACATTAAAACTAGGGCTGTCAAAATTAGCGCGTTAATGCACTTGATTAATTTTAAATATTCAATACGTAAAAAAAATATATGCAAATTACGCAGATGCAGTTTTTTTTTTCCTGTTATGGCCTCGGCGGCCGCCTTGAGCATCAGAATAGTGAGCGAACTCCCCGGTCCTCACTTTCATCCACTACACACACCGCCTTCCTCCCAAACACAGTTTACTTTCATCCGCGAACCGGTCACTTTCAGGTTTAGGGCGGCGTGCCATTTGATTAGATCGCTAGTTCAGCTTGCACCGCCCTGCGCGTTTAACGTGCAAAGAAATTTAGATAAGACCCAAGGACTCGCTTTAAGAAGGAAAGTTTCAGTATAAAACAATTAATGTTGCAGGCTATCCTGCGTTTCCTCCTGAGTTCCATGCAATTTCGGGTGTTTAAATTTTTAATCTTTAGACTTTAACTGCAGTTCAGCAATTCCCTCTCATTTCATAAATTTGACAAGTTTCCTCCCAACATGTGGCTTTTGAAAAGAGTCTTCACGTTGCTGTGTCAGAATCCTTGCTTGTAAAATACAGCTATACTTTAGAACGCTTAGTTTAAGCACATTTGATGTGCGCGATCTAATTGTGCGCGTTGATGAATCTGAAGGGATCACTCACTAACGTTGTGCTCTGTACTGCCCGCGTTTTGTGTGTGTGTGTGTGTGTGTGTAGTCCACTTAGAATTCAACATGGAAATCATATTTGTTTGTTAATGATTGTTTTAAAATTCAAATGGCACTTAAATGCCTGTGTTTTTATTTCGGTAATAAATATGGTGTTTTGTAATTAATCAGGAATAATTACAAAGTGCTTAAATTACGTAAATTTTTTTTAATTATTTGACAGCCCTAATTTAAACATTTTTATAATAATAACAACAATAATAATAATAATAAAGTAAAAATAAAAATTATAAGTAAAAAATAATAATACATTTAAAATATATAATAGCAATAATATAAAAAATAACAACAAACAACAAAAACAAAAGTAAATACATTTTTAATTTAATAATAATAACAATAATAATAAGTAAAAAAAAATTAATAATACATTTAAGTAATAACAAGTAAATAATAATAATAATAATAATAATAAAGTTAAAAAATAATAAAAATAATAAGTTAAAAATAATAATACATTTCAAAAATATAATAATAATAATACTAATAATAAACAAACAAAAATAAAGTAAATAATATATTTTAAATTTAAGAATAATAATAAGTAAAAAATAATAACAAAAACAAGTAAATAATAATAATAATACATTTTTTTAAATGTAAGAATAATAATAAAAAAAGTAAAATATACTAAGGTCAAAAATGCATTTTAAATATGTAACAACAACAACAACAACAACAAAAATAAAATAATAAAATACATTTTTTAAATTAAAGAATTATACAAAAAGTAAAAAAAATACACAAATAAAAAAATCATAATAATAAATAAAAAACAACAACAACAACAACAACAACAACAACAACAACAATAATAATAATAATAATAAATACAAATAAAATAAAAAATAAAACCAACAAGAAAATTGGATGCCTCACAAGCCTATTTGTGTTCAACAAAACTCAAAAGGTTTAAAACCACGAGGGACATCAAATTTGGTAATTTGCATTTTTAGGTGACTTTCCCTTTAGGAAGTGCGAATCTCTGTCTTACCTGATAGTAGTAGCGGAGCACCCAGCACAGGCCCTCCACGTACGACTGCACCACTTTCTTACGAAACTCGTCGTCCGTCGCATCCACGTCGAATTTAGTTTTGTAGTAACGCTGCTTCCAGCCGTCCTCCCATAACCTGAAGCACATTTACAACACAGTCACAGACACATCCAGCTCACCATCTCCTCCAAATACAGGCCTGAATTCATTAAAAAGCGAACGCAGTCTCTCCTGTGCCAAACGCGAGCCGCTTCACTTATATGCATATGCACGCCTATGAGAATTTCCCACTTTGACGGGCTCCATTAAGAGGCGACGGGGAAACTTGTTTTCCACCTTAGCGCCGGTCAGGATGTTTTGACATGCTCTGGAAATGCAGCTCACATAATCAAGGAGGAGCTGCATCTGTCTGGTGTAACCTCTACAGAGGCCCACCGGGGACTGGGAAAACCTCCATGAATACCAATTGAACCCAATCGATTTAGGAGCGCGCTGGAAAGCTAATCACTGAAACATTTGCCGTATTAGTCACTGGCTGGATGGAGACGCGCCCATAGCCATGTTTCCATCCAAAGATGCGAATCAAATTTATGCGCAAAACTGCAATATTTGCAAATAAAGCAGCAAGAGTCCAAAATAGTCACTTCCTGATAAACTGGCGCCAAATACATCTGTCAGCATTGGGATGTAAAAATACAGGATATGCTTTAATTAAAAATAAAAAGGTAAAATAAAATTAAAAATTTATAAAAAAAAAAACAGAAATTTATGATTAAAGTTAAATGTGACCCAACTCCGATTTTTTTGCTTGTATCTGTTGTATGAACGTGTAAACAGGAAAATGCATGCATCCAGATATTCAGAGATCGGTTTCAGGCCTCCTTCATATGTGGAAATAAATCAGATATAGATCGGATATGTGACAATGCGACTGTCACACTGATGTAAACAGGCAGATCAGATTTGAGGTATTTCGTTCTGTACATCACTAAAATTGTGACAATGTGGTGCTTCTCCGCGGTTTAATGACAAAGAGAGCGTGTGTGGAGATGCCAACGCGGTAAACAACAGAGGAAACAGAGGAGGAAAGTGGTCAGTCGCAATTTGCAAGTATCAGACCTGAGATCTCTCTCGTACCCACAAAATCCTCTGAATGGTGGAGGACATCATGAAGCATATAAACCATAAGCGCAAGCTGCGTTGACGGCCCTTAACCACCTCTGCCTCAAAATCATTTTAAAGTTGGGCGGACTACATGTTGTAACTTTTGCTTTTTGTCGCTATTAATACAAGCACTGCTGGGTACACAGAACAACTTTATTCTCTCCACACCAGTGCGCACAGGCAAAGGCTACATCTTCAACCACACACACACACACACACACACACACACACACACACACACACACACACACACACACACACACACACACACACACACACACACACACACACACACACACACACACACACACACACACACACACACACACACACACACACACACACACACACACACACACACACACACACACACACTGCGTGGGGGTAAATCTGGACTAAACCATTCACTGCTTTTACTACACTTTGCAGAGCTAAAAAGAAGACAATTACTTCTATCGTGTCTAGAGTGGCACAGATGCTAGAATCCGCCTTTATGCATGCACGACATCGTAAACTGAATGGCAGGGGTCCGTTCTTCGTACCTCGCTTAAATGATCTAAGATTATTTGGCAGATCCTGGAACTTTTAATCTTGATAACTGATCAAACAAGTTTGCGAATCAGATTAGAATGTCTGGATAAACTGATCTGAGATCGCTGCGTGTGTTGTGAAGGACAGATCTATCGATCCTCGAAATCATGATCAGCAATGCCATGATTGGCTGACGGCACATAAGCGTAATGACATCATCTGATTAATATTCAATTATCCATGTGAGCAAAATTACATCAAATTAGCAGTAAACGGCTTGTTAAATATGACACGCAATAACCTTCCACATTTGTTGTGAGCTGCAGGCTTTACACTTTCATGTTTCAAGAGTATTCATCATGTGTTTCAGTGCATATCAGTGTATTTAGTTCTACATTTAAAAAAGATTTTCTTTATTATTGTAGCCGTTTTTTTAATCGGTGTAAAGAATAACTGGATGTTTACAAAAGCATTTTGATAAAGGCGTCTGAAACTTTTGTGAAGCATCAAATCACCGGCATATTAACTATCAAAACATGTTAATGACTGCATAAATGTATTATTGCTTTAAAAAAAAGTCACATATTGTTTATTTCTATTATACACAATTTGTACTAAAGCGATCTAAAAAGTTCATATCAATAAGTTTTCTCTTTGCACCACCAGGTGGCAGTCTTTATACTTTCATTTCGAGGGTGCAGATTGCATATGTTTTATTAATATGTATAACTATTTTTTTATTAATGACTATATATATATATATATATATATATATATATATATATATATATATATATATATATATATATATATATATATATATATATATATATATATATATATATATATATATACATACCATTTTCCCAAGTGTATATAACTACTACTGTAAGAAAATATCAGAATTGGGAACATACTTTCTGTATCATCTTTGCCTGAACTGAGCCAATCTAATCCTGTTTATATGAATTGAACCTGCTCCCGATCAGGTTTGACCAAGCAGAACTGTTGCTATGACAACAACTCTCGGATCAGCTTTGAAGAACGAAACGATCCTGGATCGTGTCAAATCGTCAATATCCAAATCCAGCTAACCGAGTAATCCACGTACAAACAACGGACCCCAGGTGTAAACGCATGAATTGGATTTGGGTCACAATTAAAACAACGTGTAAACAGACAGGCAAACAAAACAGATATAGGCAACAAATCAGAACTGGGCATCAAGACCTGACAGTGTAAACGGGGCCGAAGTGAAATATCCAGCTAAGGTTTAAATCTGAAAGTGCACAGTGTTTAAAACTATTGATTCATCTATAAAAGAGTTGACTCATTGTGGTTCAAATGAATCGCCAGTGTAACGAGTCTTTAACCGTGACGGCGATACGGAACTCAAGCCCCACCCATTTGTTGTATGCACAAACCCAGGAAATCTGAAACCCCCGGCCCTGCCAGCAAACACTGTGGAAAGAAAAAGAGGAAAACACAGTCGCAGATCCCAGGTGAATCATGTGGCGAAGACGCTGTGCTCTGAAGTGTGAGGGAAAGTTGGTGTTATTTTCCCTACCCAAAGATAAGGCTGTGAAGAGTCAGTGGATGAAGTTTATTTTTGCAAAAAATACCTCAGCATTATAGCCCAAGCCTTGTGCTGTTTTCCCCTCATTTTTCTGATGAGTGCTTCAGCAATCTACACGCTTACAACAGGGGATTCGTCGGCCGTTTGTTAAATCATTGTGCCTTTGCCATGTGCTGTGTAATTGCAGACGATTGGATAGGAGTCACTTTTAAAAGATGATGCAAGCAGGTCATCAAAAAATAAATTAAAAACCAGATGCAATCAAAATCGGAATTGATTATCAAGATCTGCAGTGTAAATGCAGCCAAAAGGTACCTAAAAGAGAACCGTACTAGAGATGCGCGGTTGGCGGTTATAGCCGCGGACTCCTGGCGAATGACGTTACGAAAAAATAATATTTTAATTAAATTCGGGCGGGTGGCGGGCAGTTGAACTGTTTTTATATTCATAGCTGGCGCACCAACGAAAAAGCCTAGGACCGACTTCACAGAATGGGAGGAGGATTTGGATACACTAATTCTGGATGAAGTGTACAGAAGTATTCCTCTACAAACTTCCGTATAGACGGATCAGCAGAGGAAAATCTACTTTCCTTTTGGGAGAAATAAGGCCAGGCATTCCCACGACTACAGCACCTTTCCAAGAGAATTCTATGCATTTCAGCAACAAGTGCTGCGAGCGAGCGCTCCTTTAGTGCAGCAGGGCGCAGTGGCTATGCAGGCACTCCCGTCTGAATCCTGACACTGTAGATGCTATTTTATTCCTGCATTGTGCCAAGAAAAAAAAAAATCAAACTAGACCTAAGGTCAGGCATATTAAACCAATTAGCCTATGTCAGTGGTTCTCAAACTTTTTTTCATCAAGTACCACCTCAGCAAAAATTGTCTCTCCAAGTACCACCAAAAGAAGCAGTATTGAACTACAGTAGCACAGTAGGCCCAGTAAAGCAGCTACAACTCTGCACAGTTGAAAAACGTGGTAGATCACCTCAGAAATATAGGCTATATGTCATATATGGCATATTATATACATCATTTTTCATAAATTTTGAAATTTCTACAAGCTCAATAACATCCACAGCAAAAAATAAAAAAATAAAAAATAGTCGAAAAACTGTGCCCATTAATTAGATGTGCAAGGCAAGCAGGTACGTTTTTGGGGTTGCTATGGACAACTACAAATGTAAACATTATTAGGCTATAATGTAAATGACTTATTATTCTATCTATTTACTAAAAAATTAAGTGAAATAGGCATTTAGTAGTAGGCTAAATAGCAGCATGTTGAAATGATGTGTCAATGCGTTTTCTATTAGGCTACAATAAAAAAAAGTTGTACAGTACAGTGCGTTTAATTTAGGCTATTAATTTATTTTTGTCCCTGTGCGCCGATTGGAGACGGAGTTCACTGCTGATATTCTGAGAGCTCGGGTGCATCTCATTTCTTATTTGTGCATCCTCGTTTCCTTTCCTTGCTTTCTTTCCTCGTGTTTCCACCCCACCGGGATAACGGAAGGACGCAAGGAAAAGACTGAAGGACCGAGGAATCGAATCAAGTGAAAAGACACGCCCTCGTATCTTTAGCGTCAATTCAAAGTGTCTTCAATTAATGACTTGCACGTTTGGATTAACTGCATGTCTACATTAAAGTCATTCTCTATTATATAATGATCAATAAAGAAACATTCATTAAATAAAAAAAAGGAATGAGCCATTCAAATAAAGAGCCCAATCAGCAGATGGCGGGCGGGTGCGGTTTTAAAAATTGGTCAAAAATGTTACTGCGGATGGATGGCGGACGGATGATGAATTTTGTCATGCGGTTGCGGATGAAATAATAGCCCATCCGCGCATCTCTAAACCATACCACTTTTTGGTCACCCTTTGTATTTAAAATCACAAAAAAAAAAAAAAAACAATATTGCAATATACTTTTAGTGCTTGACTGATGTGTATATATATATTAGGGATGTAACGGTATTGTAAATACCGTCATACCGCAATATTAATTTTTTCCGATATTACCGAAGTCGCGTGACTCTGTAAAACTATAGGTCTTCTGAGAAAATTTGCTCAGGCGAATGAAGCGAACGGGAGGTACCGGAAACTACAATTCCCATCAGCCCAGGCTTGGCCATAATCCCTTGCGGTCTGTTGTCGCTACAGATCCAGTAATGCGGAAATGGAGTGTGCTGCTAGAAGCGGGGATCAAAAAGAGCTGGAAAACTCTAAAGCTGGTGTTGTCGCCGTGCGCGTACTGAATAGTGGTGTTGTCGCGCGAGTTCTTATCAGCTGTGTTGTCGCGCGCGTACTGAATAGTGGTGTTGTCGCGCGAGTTCTTATCAGCTGTGTTGTCGCGCGAATACTGAAGGGCGGGACGGAGGGTATGTCGCGTCGCAGGGGCACTTTTGATAATTTTGGAAGGGAACTTTTTATCCAAGACTAAAAAGGGCATGTGCACTGCACAGGTTGAGCACTATGTGTGCACGTGCCTGCAAGTTGGGGAATACGACTAATATCATGGGGACTGCAGAAACACAGCACACTGTTCAGATTGATGCAGACATGAGATCTCTATCTCACTCATGGTTTGTCCTCTCAAGTGGGGGAAAGACAATGAACAACGTTACTCACTGCTGTCAACCTGGGCCAAGTCATATCTCTCTTGTCCCAGAAACCTCAGTCCCAAATGAGAAGGTTTTTTTCTGTAGCAGGGGACATTGTAAATACCCAGAGATACCAGCTTTTACCAGATTATATTTATATGATAATTTTCCTTTAAACCCATCTCTATCCAAGTGAGTGAGTGATTAAATGTTGAATGTGATGAGTTTTCAACAATACTAAATTGAAACTTAATTTACATGGTTTAATATTTTTTTGTTATTAAAATTGAAGTTCCTGTTTCAAAGCTTACAGATAGATGACTAATTTGTATGTCATTGACACTTTTGGCACTTTTTTGGAGTATTTTCATAAGTTTTGTTTTTTCCTGTAAATGATTCAATAAATACCGTACCGTGACATTCATACCGAGGTATTACCGTACCGTGAAATTCTGATACCGTTACATCCCTAATATATATATATATATATATATATATATATATATATATATATATATATATATATATATATATATATATATATATATATATATATATATAAGCCTATATATAATCTCCAAGCCTAACATCAGATGGCCAAAAACCGAATTGTTTAAAAAAAAAAAAAAAAAAAAACTATGATGACTTCTGAAGTACAGAAATATCTATTCTATTAACTACTTTGTGTATTGGAGAATTACTGAGCATTGTGTTGTTACCTGACATTATCTTCTGGCTCTGGTTCGCTGTCGCTGTCGTCAGCTTTACGCTTTACACCGCGATTGTCCATGCTGCCACTGGATTCAGCAGAACCCTGAGAGAAAGGACAGATTAAGGACACATGTAAATGCTAAATCAATGAGAGTCATATTTTGAGGTCAAAGACAGTGTTAAAGCGACTCAGTGTTAAAATGCTGAACAAAGAGCAGGAGCGAAAGAGATACATGCCTTCCCATTTCTCATCATGGCTCTCAAGGACTGAGCGGCATCCTAAAAATATATATTTAAAATAGAAAATAGATTCAAGCAAGGTGAAAAAAAGAGGCTCAAGACGACAATTATACATTTAAAAAGTCCAAGTGAAAATCTATAAATTATATAAATAAATAAATAAATAAATAAAATGCAGATATTGTTCACAATACAAATACATATAAAAAGAGATCTGAGGTCATGAGAAGAGAATTTAATTCCAAAATATACTGCAAAAAAGGTGCATTTTCAACACAAATGTGTAAAAAAAAAAATTTGTTCTTGAGATTCAAAGCAGACTTTTTCAGCACAGGGTTTGCAGGTTTCAAAGTTAAATTTAAGACATTAAGACCATTATGAATGAAATTTTAGACTTATACAAGACTAAATGCTAAGGATTTTTTTTCCAAATATCCCAGTTAGAAAAGATTTTCACTTGACCCATTAAAAATTATAATAAATTTAATAAATTTAATACATTTAATACAATAATAATAATTTTGTTTAAATATTTGTTTGTTTAATTTCAAGCATATCCACTCACAAACCATATAACCCTGACCAAGAATAAAACAAAACTTAAGGTGCTTTCACATCTGTAGTTCGCTTAATTTGGTCCGGACCAAGGGCAATAAATGATACAGTTGCATCTTCTGCCGTCTTTAGGTCGTTTTCACACCACACTGCAGGCTTTGGTCCGAACCAGTTGAAACGAACCAAAATGCACTCATCTGACAAAATCCACATCTCTCATTGGCCAGATGTTGTTAATCATATTTCCTAAACTGCTTATTGATTGGTTAGAATTCACGTGCGGGAAAATGCCAGTGAACTCCCGCAGATAAACAAAACCTTTTACTCTGGAGGGACGACTGCGCTGGCTGATTGTATCCCTGCTTTAGACAAACTATACATTACGAAAATGAAGTGCGGCCGTGGCTGGAAAACAGTGTGTAATGCATCGCTCGTCACTTCAGGAGGAGCCGTGAATTAATTTAGCTAAACTGCAACATGGTCATCTTGCGGAAATATTACCAACGATCTATCAGGTAATTTCCTGATGATTGGGATTGTTGGTGATTGTATGGGCGTTATGACCGTATTGTTTATACAGGAACAAAGAAAAATAAAGACCTGTTAAAAAAAATAAGACCTACAACACTATATTTCAGTAGATTTAAGACATTAAGGCCTAAAATTTCGTTTTGAGATTTAAGACATTAAGGCCCAATCCTATTTTTGTACCCCTACCCCTTGGCCCTTAAAACAGCAGTGTGAAGGGAAAGGGCTTCAAAATTTACCCCAAAGAAATGGGACAGCACTACAGCACCTGCACAAGTCATCATATGTCATCGTGATCTCTTGCTTCATATGAGATGGAGATGGTCATGGCGACTGCTGTAGTTATTCCAGTTGCTTTATTATTTAGTATTTATCTTCAGGATATCACTTAAGGCATACATCATGTTATCATGGCTTAAACATGATTGTACATCTGTGGCGCCATCAAGCAATATCACTGTCTGAAGGCAGGATAGCAGAGTAGGTAATAAAGTTCTTCAAAACACAACAATTCCTTGCTGAATCCTTCCAGAAAACATACCCAACTGGTTCCGAGAGACACATAAAAATAACAAAGGCAGCGGGGGTGTTCATTGCCAAAGATTTCCAGCCATTTTCAGTGATTAGAGATGCAGGCTTGTCATATTATAAAAGCACTCGATTAACTTTCACCGAGTTAACTTACAGACTACCGTCTCGCAATTATTTCAGCTCGAGATAAGATGGTTTATTTATGTTTACTGGAGTACAAACGTTTATTTGAAATGGTCAATTTATGTTTATTAACCTCACATGTTTACTTTCAAAACGTAGGAATGTACGTGTTCTCTAGTTTGTTACATCGGCTACCAGCAGCTGTGAGATTTCAGTGTTTTTTTTTTTACACAATAGGAACTAGTGTACTTTTCTTGGCTTTAAAGTAAGATAAAGGAGTATTGCAATAAATCGTTTTTAATTTTTCTACTTAACCTCTTACAGTTCCTATTGCCTAAGCATAAAATAACAAAAGAAAAGCCATGAGAACCGAACTGAAAACAGTGTTAAAAAAACTAAGTATGTATTAAACTGTAGGCTGAACTGTATTGTTGCTTCCCTAGTGTGAGTACACCCTAAGAGTACAGAGTCTAGCATTTATATTCTCATATACTTATTAGCCTTCATATCAGATCTGAGAGCTTGCTAGTTTTATTGAAAGCATTCATTCAAAAGGAAAAATAAAAAGGAGAATTACTCCAGCAGCACCAAGGCTGTTGAATTAGTGAGAGATGCTGTGTGAAAGCTGACCTGATTGCGCTGGTTTCCCTGCATCCTCATTTCGAATGCTGCATGTCTGGCGTTCTGCACTGCCATTGGCCGATCTCTGCCACCCAGAGCGTGAGGAGCAAACTGACCCCCAGGGAGAAATGATGGACGCTGCTCTGCCTGGGAAGAGAAAAATCGAGACGCTCATATTTTCAGTCGTGCCAGATTATTCTGCATACTTTCAGCATAAGACTTCTGCATTCATAAGTTTCATGCATAATCTAAATATTTAATGCAGCATTATATTATTTTTTCCTCCCATAGATTAGAATGTCCCCTGTTTTTTTTATTAATCAAAAAAGGCATCTACGTTTAGACCGATATTAAAATGGGACGGACGGATGGATAAAGCTACAGAATGAAAGATGGATGGATGTATGGATAAAGCTACAGAATGAAAGATGGGTGGATGGATAAAACTACAGAATGAAAGATGGATGGATGTATGGATAAAGCTACAGAATGAAAGATGGGTGGATGGATAAAACTACAGAATGAAAGATGGATGATTGGATAAAACTACAGAATGAAAGATGGATGATTGGATAAAACTACAGAATGAAAGATGGATGGATAGATAGATAAATTTAGAAAGAAAATTTCTAATTTAAAGATCACAGCGTAGACCCAAAATGCTCAATTGTCATTTAAAATCTTTATACTTTACCTTCATCTATCAAAACAAGATTTAACATATTCGTGAGCAAGAAATTAACCACTTAAAAATGTGATAAAGTTTAGTTTGATCATGTACTAACTAATTTAATGAAAATATAAGTCAGAATATTTTGTGCTAAGTGTACATAAAAACTTCATGACAAGGAACATTTCAGAAATTATATTATTTAAAATATACAAGTCATTATATAAATAGTTTACTGGTAAAAAGAAATCATGTTAAAAAAACAAGCTAATAAAAATGAGCAAAAGTTTTAAGAAACAAATTACACTATTTACTACTGGCTTGTCGCCTGCCTATTAAGACATCAACACTTAAAGTGATTTTATTTGACATCCCTAATCCTAAACTGTAAAAATTACAGTAACTTACTGGCAAATTCGGTTGCCAGTAAGACTGCAAATTTACAAGTACAATGTAAAAGAAATACAACTGTGCTATATTTTTACATTACCATTCAAATATAGCCAGTAAGTTACTGTAAATCTGAGATTAAATTGTAATTATCAATTTACAGTGTGCTTGTTGTTATGCATTTGTGTTTTGTTCCTCTCTCTCTCTCTCGCTTTGTTCTCCCATATCTGCTTTCATTATTCTCAGGTTCCGTTCATTGGTCTATTCAGCTGTCAGTCATTTCCTCTCCGGTTACACCTCTCTTACGTCGCATCCAATAGGCAAAGACCACCAGTCATAAAAGCGCGCGCCAGACCACTCACTAGGCTCTTGACTTCTCTTTCTCTGCTTGTTTTTGTGTTTGTATTAATTGCATCACATTTAGAAAAACCTTGTCAAACCGTGTATGTTATTGTTGCCCGTTTCTGTGTGCACGTTATCCGTCCATTATTCGTATATCCTTCACAGTTTAAAGTTGTTTACAAGGCTTGGACGAAGGGGACAGGTAGGAAGGTCACATGACATACATTTTGCAACACCTAGGACTACTCTTCTGTATAGTACATTAGGTTGGGGGCGAGCGCCACCCCTTGTACTTTTTGGATAGACAGATAGCAAAGACAATCAGGACTCGGAAGACTCTTCGCGTATTAATTATATTGTTTTCACATAGTTAGTTAGCTAGATGCTTCTGAGAAGTTAGATTCAGTTTGGGTTTTGTTCTTTTCATTTCTTTAGTTCCACCCGCGTCCCTTCTGCCAGTTCTCCGTTTTTTTTCTCCGTCCTTGTATTCATCTCTGTGTTGTATATATTGTATATAGTATATTTTTGCTTTACTTTCTTTATTTTGGATTAATTCGTTGTTTTTGTTCACTTTTCGGAATTGTAAATAAAAATCACATATTTTTGCATTACTTTGGTCGTCATTTTCACTTATTCACCGTTTACATAAATATATTTTAATCACCTAAATGTCAAACCCCACCATCTCCTAGAATAACATCAGGGGTTTGTAACATTGTAAATTTAGCCTTACTGGCAAACGAAATTACCAGTAACTTACTATAAATTGTGTAAAAAAAATAAATAAATAAAAATTATAAAAGGGTACTCAATACCTAAACACAACTACTGCCATACTAAATATTAATAAACAGCCAATAAGTAGTTTATTTAGCCAAAATTCTGTGTTAATGGTTTACTAGCGTGAATTGCACGTTAAAATATAATTCAACCAAAATATGCAATTTAATATTAATACAAGCAATTAATCTAGCCAATAACATAAAAATAAATCAATAAAAAAAACATGAGCATGTGCACAAACATTAGGTACATCCCTCATTCGACTAATCATCTTCATGAAAACCTGTGCTATGTAGATGATATAGACAGCAAAAAAGAAATCTGAATTTGTCTGCTATGTTGAATGAAAAGAAACATTTTCTAAATTATATTATTAACATACATCATAATATTATGTAAATTCTTATTTTACTAGTAAAAAGAAATCATGTTATCAAATACAAATATGGGTAACACTTTAGTTTAAGTAATAATTTATTAAATGGCTTATTATCTGCCTAGTATTAAGTTGTCAACATTAAATAATGATTCATTAATCCTACTCTAAAATAGTTACTCAAATTTACAGTAACTTACTGGCGAATTCGGTTGCCAGTAAGACTGCAAATTAACAATGTAAATAGACAATTGTGCTGTATTTTTGCATTAATTATTAATTTACAGGACTCCACAATGCCAGTAAGTTACTGTAAATACGACAGAAAATTGTAACCATTATAGAGCGCTAGTAAATTGAGTCTTTTTTTATGCCAATATGTAACCGTAAATTTCAGTAAATTAATTTACAGTGTGTTTGTAAATTTAGCCTAACTGCACACCAAAAATTACAGCATGATACTATAAATTTTACAATAAAATGTAATTTACATTGTGCTTGTAAATTTTGCCTTACTGGAAACCAAAAATGTCAGCATGTTACTGTAAATTTGACAGTAAATTGTAATCATTAAATTTAAAGAGCGCTTGTAAATTTAGTCCTTATTTACCAACAAATCGCCAGTATGCAACTGAAACTTAAGTAAAATAAATAAAAGCATGGTTATAAATTTTGCCTTACTGGAAACAAAAAAAAATTCCAGTATGTTACTGTAACTTCAACAATAAATTGTAATTAATTTACAGCGTGGTTGTAAATTAAGTCTCACTGGAAACCAAAAATGACAGTAAGTTGCTGTAAATTTGACAGTAAATTGTAATCATTAATTTAAAGAGTGCTTGTAAATTTAGTCTTTATTTACCAACTAATCGCCAGTATGTAACCACAAATTTCAGTAATTTACAGCTTGGTTGTAAATTTAGCCTTACTGGAAACCAAAAATGGCAGTAAGTTACTGTAAACTTTACAATAAATTGTAATTAATTTACAGAGTGCTTGTAAATTCAGTCTTACTGGCAACCGAAATTGCCATCACGTTACTGTAAATTTGTAAACTACCTTACTAAGTAAAATGCAGCTGATTAATAGTTTGAGCTAAAAGTCTTAGATAATAGCGTACACTAAAATAAAAATGTAACCAAAACATGCATTTGCTTATTAAAAACCAATTTAGCCAATTGTATAAAAATTAATCGATTTAAAAATCTGTGCATGAGCACGCAAACATTAGGTACATCCTCCATTTCACCAATCATCTTCATAAAAACCTGTGGCATTTGCATGATATAAACGCACATTCATTGTGAGTGAATGCAAGGTCAAGATTAAAACTATTCAGCCGCCGTCAGTCGAATTAAACAACCTTGAATGGATTCAGCTCAGCAGCTCTTAAAAGGAATTTTTTTAATTGCAACAAAACAAAAAGGTGCTTGGATTAAATGATTCGATTTCCACTCACTTTCATCCGTTTCTTCTTATCCTTCATTCTCCGTTTAAAACTCTCCTGCAGCACACAAAAAAGCACATTTCTGTGTCACAATCATCAGTTTAAGAGGTCAAAGGTCACAAGGACGCCACTGTAAACAGCAAATGCGGTTGATTGGGAACACTCACGTCATCTTCCTTGCGCTTTTTGAAGATGTTGTCCTCCGCCACCCCTACGGCTTGCATAATGAGCTCAACACGCTCCAGATTGACAAAGCCGTTTTCTGTTAAGTAGCCCTATAGATGGAGAAAAAAAGGAAAGCAGTGGCTATAAATCTTTCCTTCGGTCAATTATAGATGAATAAAAGCCAGATTATTATTATTATTATATGATCGGCATGGTCATTGTAACAAACATGTAGAGATTTATGACCTCAATCACTTTGCAAAACAACTTATGCTGCTTATTGTTAATTGCAATTTTCTTATCTTTTATATTATCTTATATATTTTAATGTATTGTCAAACACAATTGATTTAAGAGCACGTAGTTTGTCTATGCGTTACCATTTTGTTAGGCCTAGTTGTTCATCAATAGTCACCATTGAAGGTGCATAATGGAGGAAAAAAGGGAGCTGTTGTGTTCAGCACTGATCATACACACGCACACATGCATGCACAAAAAGTAGTATTTTAACATGGACAGCCTGTTGACTGCATTTAACAAACGATTGCCAGCTGAAAAGCAGGAAAATATTTTTTTATAAATCAATAAATTAAACAACAAAAAAATTAAATTAATAATAATAACAACAACAACAACAACAACAACAACAACAACAACAACAACAACAACAACAAGAGAAATAACAACAAAAAAATTACAAAATTAAAATGAAAATAATAAATAATTATCAATAAATAAATAAAAAATAATAACAATATTAAAATACCATTAAAACAATGATAATAAATATCAATAATAAAAAACAACAACAAAAACAATAAAACCTATAAAAATAACAATGATACAATAAATAAGAAATAATAAAAACAAAAACAATAATAAAATAAAAAACAATAATAAAATAAATTAATAACAAAAAGCACAAAAAACATTTATAAGGTAAATCACAACTTTAAAAATAATAATAAAACAATAATAAAAAAACACCTATATTAAAATAACCATAAACAACTATAATAAATAAATAAAGAAAGAAATACTACTAATAACAGTAAACAAAAAAACAATAAAAATAATAAAACCTATTAAAAATAAATAAGAATAAAACAATGATAATAAAAACAACAAACATAACAAACAACAACAAAATAAACAACAAAAACTAAAATAACTAATTTTATGAAAAGGTAATAACTATAAAAATAATAATAAAACAATATTAATAAAATAAACATTAAAATAAATAATAACAGTCACACTTTACAATAAGGTTTCATTAGTCCATGTATTTACTAACATGAACTAACTATAAGCAATATTTGTACACCATTTAATAATCATAGTTCAACATTTACTAATACGTTAACATCAAATTCATGGTTAGCATTAGTTAATGAAAACGTAGTTGTTCATTGTTCAAGTCAACTCATGGTGCATTAACTAATATGAACAGATACCATAAAAAACAATGAATAATGCATTTTTTATTAATGTTAGTAAATGCATTAAACAATACAACCTTATTGTAAAGCGTTACGATAATACAAATATTAAAATAAATAATCATAGTAATAATCAAATAATAGCAACAATAGTAATAATCATAGTAATAATACTAATTATTATTGTTTTATAATAATAATAATAATAATAATAATAATAATAAACCACAACAAAAATAGATTAGCCATAACAATAGGCAAAAGGTGAAACACTAAATAAAATATATGGTACAGAAAAAATATATATACATTGCTAAATAAGTAAAATATAAAAATGACAAACCTAAAAGCCCTGATATTCTATGACTTGAACAAAAATTATATATAAAATTCCCTGACTTTCGATGTCTGGAACAGACCTTTTAAAACTCCACGACCCTTGGGAACCCTGAAAATAAATTCAATTCTGCTACGAGACATATGGAAATATTCACCCCAGTTTTATGCACAACATCTTTGTAGATGCCAACCAGACGATCGATGGCGCCCTCTCTGTTTAAAAACAAACCAGAGTCAGACTCACTGCAGAGCATACAGAAGAGATAAAGTGTTTTTGGGAGCGTACCTGATCTCAAGAGACGGTAAGTGGGGCAAGAAGTCATTTCCCACAAAGAAACACATGAACACCCAGTCGTCGACGCTCCGCTCAAAGCTAAACGGGAACGGCAGACTGGCCATTGTCAACTCCCTCTCCAGATACTGCACAACAAAACACACATTACTAACAAAATTACATTCATTATGCTTTTACATGCACTTTTTCTAGTTTAATACAGATTTTTAAAGACTAATTCAAGTATGGGTATTAAACAATGTTTGTTTTACACACAGATTAACATTCTTTATGCTTTAACGTGCACTTTTTCTTAGATAAAATGTAAAAATTTTGCTTAATACAAACTTTTAAAGACTAATTCACAACAGTGTGGGTATACAAGTGTGGGTATTAAAAAATGTTTATTACCAAACGTTCAGTACCGTTTTTGCACATGCAAGCTTTTGCACATGCAAACATTTAACATTAACCTAATAAAGATATGTACTTGGTTATTAAATTAACCAATATAGCCAATTGCATAAAAATGATTAAAATAAAAACCTGCGTAAACATTGGGTGCATCTTCAATTGAATTAATTATCTTCACAATAAATTGTATTAAGGTAATGCCTTGCATGTAGTCATGGATTTATACTTCTGCATGCTGTTTGTGTTTTTTTGCAAAAACACTTCAGAAACACTAGCTGGCAGTGAGGTTATGTTCCTCAGTGTCAAGTTTCTTTGTGGGCGTTTCTACCTTTAGTGGCACAGCTATGGGGCGAAAGCAAGGATGATTCTAAGGGCCCATGCAGTTTTGGGGCCCCTAGAGATAATATATACAGAAAAATCTGATATGGCATTATTTTGTTTTGCGGCAATATATACTGCAATATGAATATAATTTGACCAGATGATTTGAATAGCTCTAATTGGAAAGATTAAATTCATTTAGATGTTCAAGTCTTTTTTTTTCTTTGCAGTGCATCATTCCTGGGGAGCCTGAATGTTTAATTTCTGTACTTAAATACTGTTAAAGGCTAAATAACATGGTCTTCATTGCATAAATAATTTTGTCTCTTTATCTTTTAATCTTTAATAAATCTAATCCTGCGATGTGGCTATTGCTGATACACGTATAACAATATGGATGCTCAAACAATATACAGTTGAGCCCTAATGTATAACATTATAAAATGAACAAACCTCTCGTAACACAGCCAGTCGGATGAATATGAACTCCTGTTCGGATACTGGAATGGTGTCTGCAAACTCATCATGCTGGAAAAACAAAACAACAAAACAAGATAAGAAACCTGGATTAAGGAGACAGTCAGGGCAGACTCAGAAATAATGAAAAGTTTTACCTCGCCCTGTTTTTCTCTTGGCAAACCCTGACAGTCTTTAATCTCGTGGCCCATTTGACTACAAAGAGCACAGGGTCTGGGTTTGTTAGGTTTAAACTCTTCTCTTATAATGGTGAAGTTGGGTTCATGTGTTGCCAGACCCAGCATAATCAAATCAGCTAGAGAGGAAAAGAAACAGCAGAAAATTAAACACTGTTTTAAAGTTCTTGTAAAATGTTTTACTACATGCAAACCATAATAATGTCTGAAAAGTTTCAGAAAATTGAAGCGCAAGGATAAATGGCTGATATTACATAAACATGCAGTCATCAATGCTAATAATGGCAGCTTTCGGTCAGATTCATGTTTTGAAGAGTCTTCAGAACTATTGTCTCTAGAGTAATCAGATGCAATATAGGTTTCCTCATTCGTCCACTTAGAGCATTAATATTACAGGCATAATGTTTCACATCAGCTCCTCTTGTACATAAAACCAGACAGATTTAAATATTTCTCTCATATTTAATCAAACATTTTGCAACAAAATAAAACTAAAATCTGGCTTTCTGATTGAACCATTATCAAACATGAGGGTTTTTTCTTCTCTTTCCATCGGTTGCTTATTAAACTGTAAAAGTTAAGCATTACTGAAATGAATGTGCATCACTGAAAGACCATGTTGTAACATTCTTTTTAAATACAATTAGGGTAAAAAATATGTACCATTTACAATAAGAAAACACAAAAACAATTTACAGCAAGTTAGTAAGTAGCAGATGGTTCAATACAAGAAAAAATAAATAAAAAAAATCACAATTTAAACTAAAACAATTTAATAAAATGGCTCTAACATTTAAAAAAAACAAAATATAAAAAGAGAGGGAAAAAAAGAGAAATAGATCACAAAAAAAGATAAGTACTAGAGCGAAAAAGAGAATTTATTGTTATGAACTTTAGATATAAATGTGTACATGCACAATATTCAACGTTTTTTTTCAAGGATTATAATTTTTGCAGTCATGCACGTGTTTTGACTGCTAATATACCAGTGATTTGATGCCTTGCAAAAGTTGCAGACACCTTCACCGATATAAAAATGTTGATGCTAAATTAATAAAGTTATTTCTTATACCAATTAAAAAAAACTTGGAGTAGGCCTGGGCAACTATAATAAAAAAAAAAAAAAAATTCTCTAAATATAGAACTTAATGCATTGATATGCATTGAAATACATGATGAATACTCGACACATAAAAGTGTAACGCCTGCAGCTCACAACAAATGTGGAAAGTAATTTGCGCATCATATTTAACAAACCGTTTACTGCTAATTTTATCATTTTGCTCACATGGATAATTGAATATTAATTAGATGTCATTACGCTGCTGTGCCGTCAGCTAATCTTTGCATTACTGATCATGATTTTGGGAATCGATAGATCTGTCCTTCACAACACGCGCAGCTATCTCAGATCAGTTCATCCAGACATTCTAATCTGATTTGCGAACTTGAAGAACCCAGTTACATCAGCTGTCAAGATTAACAGATCCAGGACCTGCCAAATCATCTTAGATCATTTAGGCAAGGTACGGACAATGGACCGCAGGATTAAAAAGACAATCAGGGCAGACTCAGAAATAATGAAAAGTTTGAGCAGTTTTATTAAATTGTTTTAGCTTAATAAGAGAAAAAGAAAGAGATATAGATCACAAAAAAGATAAGTACAAGGGGGAAAAAAATGCATAAAAAGCAATTAAAAAAAAAAGCACAAAGAAACAAGAGAAAGAAAGATTGCAAGTAGGAAAGCAGGTTAAAAAAACAAGCAGGAAAAAGCGAGCGAAAAATCCCCACAAAGCAAAGCAAAAAAAAAAAAGATAAAAAAAAACAAACAAGCAAGCAAAACTAAAAAAAGAGAAAAAGAGAAAGAAAAACGAAGCGAAAAAAAGGAAAAAAGCAAAAAAGCAAAAAAATAAAAAAACTAGCAAAAAAATAAACCAAGCAGAAAGAGAAAGAAAAACAACAAGTGCGGAAAAGAAAGCACAAAAAAACAAGCGGGAAAAAAAAAACAAGTGAGCAAGCAGGAAAGGAAGAGAAAAGAGAGGGGAAAAAAGCAAGAAAGAGAGAAAGACTGAAAGGAAAGAAAGAACTCCTTTACCATCAGCTCCGCAGAGACAGTGATGCGTGTTTGGGTCATGATTTGGCTGACCTGGACAAAAATAAAAGAGACACATTAGACAAGACAAGACAATTTCGACATGAGTCATGACCCACACAAAGAATTTCTGCTGACAATCTTAAATCAATTCTTGAAAAGTCCTTCACAATAAGACCATAATGCAAAAACTCAGCTCTACCTCTCTGTCTCCTGATGTAATCCATAATTTTATGCTCTCCTTCACCAGGAACGCTGGCATCCGACAGGAAAACCTGCAGAACAAAGCATGCATTTGTTTATCTATAACATCCAACAGAGGAAGAATATTGAACAAAAGATTTATCTAGAGCTAATCTCAGGTAACAATGACGATATATTAATCCTATACAACAAATAATCTTATTTTCGCTTTGAAATGTAGATATTTGCACTGGAAAGCAAAAATTAAAAGCATTTTGACATAAATCATAGAAATAATTAAATACAATTTTTTTGTTACACCTCCAAACATAATTTTAACCCTCTTGAAATGAAAAAGCATGCAAATGATACACTTTCACTCTGTTATGGTTAAACTCAGCAGTGACTCTACAAATGACAAGCGTTCTATAGCTTCTGCTTAACAATAATTGAGACTCAACATATAATAATTGAGACTGCATATCTTGCGATGTGACCATTGCAGATGTGCACACTGTAATACACAAACTGGAATATGGCTTAACTGGCTGGTCTGGAATACTGCAAATTGGTTCCCTGATTCATCCAACCTCACTCATAAGACCATTACACAAACACTAGACTGCAAGTATGGATGCTGGCAAAATATGAGTATGCCCAGTGAGTGTTAATGGACAGCAGGGTTGGGAAAAATTGCTATATTGTTGTTGAGTGTCTTATGATACAACTAACTAGCAATAATTTACCAGTTTAATAATTCATGTAGTGATCATAAAATTAGATATTTTTTTTCTGAGCTAATTAAACTTAAAAAAAAAAAAAAAACCTTGGTGGAAACTCTGATTGGCTGTATTTTCCTCTCCCGGCTTTAGTGTTTTTCAGCTTTTGGTTCATCTTTAAGCCCCTACTGGTGATTAAGGGTGCTTTCACACTAGCACTTTTGTTCTGCACCCAGGTTCGTTTGACGTCATAGTACAGTATGTTTAGCTAGTGTGAACGTATCTTCTGAACTCGGGTGTTTACCCGTGAATCGTACCAGAGTCCGCATGAAGAGGTGGTCTGGGGTACAGTTCATGCGAACTCTGGTACGGTTCACTTCTGGTATGAATGCAATCGTACCAAATAACGGAAATGAACAGCCGACTGTACAACAAACTATCATTTTCATAATGTTCGTTCTTGTGTTGCGTCACATTTTGTATCTTGGTGACAAGCGAACTGAGCCAAGGCAAACACAGTGATGTCTGCTCATCTCCTCAAAAACAGCTTCAGCAGACACTGCGTGATGTTCTGAATGTTTATAATAGTTTTGCGGCAGACAGACACGAGTCGCTTTCTGTAAGTCCAAAACTAAAAGATTCAGTAAAAGCAAATCAACCGCGATGTGCGGAAGTCTTTCCATTTTGGCGAATCACTTTCGTGACTTTGAACCTAGCAACAGCCAAATAACGGAAGTGAACCGCCAACAACGTTCATTCTCATGTGTGTGTTACATATCGTACCTTGGTGACAAGTGGGACTGAGCCAGGGCAAACACAGTGATAATTTCTGCTTGTCTCCTCCAAAAACAGGTTCTACAGATGTTCTAAATGTTTATAATAGTGTTGGGCAGACGGACGCAAGTCTGTATGTCTTTCTGTATGTCCAAAACTAAAAGCAGAATGACCGCGATGTGACTGTCACCTAGCAACGAAAACCAACCGAGAAGGTGGCTGGGTGGGGTGGGATGGGGTTTAGATAAGGTAATATCGAACTTGGGTACGGTCCAGGCAAATGAAAAAAGTGTGAAAGCTCCCTATGATCAGATTTGGATAAAAACCACCTGTGCATGTAGCACACAAATACTTGGCACATAAAACTATTTTAATAAATTGCACTTCTTTGTGATATGGATAATGCATATTATAGCGATACTGGTCATTTTCCAACATATTGTGCAGCCCTAGTGGACATGTATTGCACCATTTAGGGTGTATAATGTGGACAGGGAACCTTTTTTTTCCGTTGAACACAAAAGATATTTTGAAAGATGATGGAAACCTGTGACTAGGCCCACACGGAATCTGCGCACGCAGAATTCCGCAGATTTCTAGCCCATCATTAATTCTGTTTATTTACTTGAGTAAATGTGTGTAAATCTAAATTTATTTTGTTTTTTCATTAATTACAGTAATATTATTGAATAACATGAAAATGTTTATCTGATTTATGCATAATGCAGTTTGTTCAGTAATATTTTCTATCTTTTAGTAGATATATTATATAAGAGACTTGCTTTGTTTACAAAATAAAGTGAATCTAATTAGATTTGCAATTTAAACAATAAAAGTTAAAATGGTATTACTTTTTTTCACATATTAAGGTTTTAGTTATGATACTCCCAAAATAATTCAGCAGAAATAGCAGAAAATGTGGGGAGATTTCATCTGGCCCTGCCTGTGACCATTGACCTCAATAGTAGGGAAAACAAATATTATGAAAGTCAGTGGTTACATGTATTCAGCTTTCTCCAATATATCTTCTTTAGTGTTTATCAAGAAGCTCACAGTACTCAGTAGGTTTGGAACGACTTGCGAGTAAATAGGAAGTACATTTTCAATTTTTGTGCAAACTGTCCCTTAAAAACAGAGAAATTGCATCATAAACTAGTCATCTTCAGCTGGTCCATGTATCATGCCTTTTTGGTTGTATAGTGTGGATGGAAATATAGTATAGAAATATTGTATAGTGTTCAAAAATCCAGCAAAAACACCAGTCTGGACAAGGAAACGCCATTTAAAAAATTAAAACCCTTGTGTAAACAGCACTACATTTGACATACTGTTATATTGCGCCATCCAGGGTCATTGGTCAGTCTGTCTGCAACATAATATCGCAGACATTTGGCCAGGTTATCCATGAACTCGGTCCCCTAAACAAAGAAAGAAAAGCATTAAAGCTATACAGCAAAAGCAGAGGGAAATGTAAATGTTTAGAGGACATGAAACACTTACAGGTGTGATACAGTTACTGTCAAAACGCTCTTTAATTTCCTCAGGTGGAAGGTAGCCACCTATAAAAGAAAAAAAACACCATCATAAGAAACCAGAACGCGTCACAAAGATCAAATCTATATAGTGCTTAGGGCTAATATGCAACCAAGTGATAGTTCATGGTTTCTGCTACATCCATTCTTCCATGGCAGGACACCACACCAAAAATGATCCCACCACACCTACATTACAGCTTCTCATTCAAAACATTCAGGCGTTAGTTTTTAATAGCGGATTATCATCACAACAAAACATATTAAAATGTAAGTGAATTATAATAGCGCAAACTTTCCTGTAATGGTAGTAAAGCTGTGCGTTTAACGTTTAACCCTTTAAGGTGACACACTGACTGACTGACTGACAAGGCTGCGCGATGCATGAGGCTAGCAAACCCAATGTCATTTTCAGTTATGATGAACAGTTTCCATAATTACACTATTTATAGATAAAGGTCTGTGGTTCTGCATGCAATGACTTTATCTGGCTGGAGTTTATAGCCGTTTCATTTTACATCAGAACGCATTAATGCCGCTTTGTAGGTCTATTGGAGACATTCATAAATATTCCTAGCAAATCTAATAAATGGAGACATACTCGTTACATAAACACACTAAATCGCACTTCAGCAGTGTTTATTTAAGAGTGCTCAAGAAAATCTGCACTTGAGCAGCGTATATTTGAGGGCATGCAAGAAGTTGTGCACAACGAGAAGAAATCAGCACACAAGCAAAGAGATTCGCATGCTCGTACTACATAAATGCGATCTCGACTTGTAATACTGCCCTCACAACATTTATAATTGAAATAGCGATATAGATAGTTCGTAGATCTGTGTAAAAGGCCTGCCGCCACAGCTGGAAAAAATCCTAGAGGAAACACTGTAGTCAGTTAAAAAAAATATAATAATACAAACAAATACAAATAAGAGGAAACAAAAATAGTACTTAAAGTCTTTTGATGATACATTGATGTCTTTTGAGACTGTACTATCAATGTTATTGCAAACTGCATCGTTTTTGCTCATTCCTCATTTTGCATCAGAAAGTTTGCTATCCAGATGAAGACCTCAGTGCATCGTCAAAAGCCACAGGTATTTAAGGTCATGTGAAGTGCTTAGAAAAAAAATGCTAATTTCAATGTATGATGTAAAGTCCTGGAGAGCCGGTGTCCTGCAAAGTTTAGTTCTGACCCAATCAGACACAAGTGGGCTAGCTAATCAAGCTTTTACTAGGCTTTCTAAAAACAACTTGCCTCAACACACCTGCAAAAATTAAGCTAAAGTCTGCAGGACACCAGCCCTCCAGGATTGACTTTGGACACCCCTGGTTTAGTTTTAAATCAGAGCTCTGCCAGTGAGAGGTTGAGCTCAAGCACATCAAAAGAAAGGCAAATGAGAAGCGTCTTGTAGGGGGCGGGGCATGTCAGATACTAGAGAGCATTTGATTGGTCAAGATTTGATTTGACGAGAAACTGAAACATGAGGTGAAAAAAAAAAAATAAAAAATAACATTCTGATACTTACATCTAAAAACGTTGTTTTAATTTGACGTTATTTTAAATAGAGACTGTGTCCGTCTCCATTGATTATTATCTTACGATTAACCAAAAACAGTGGTTTCAGCTAAAAATCATCTTTAATATTCTACAAAGTCACCTAGATCAGTGTTTCTCAACCAAGTCCCTGGAGGACTACCAGCTCATCACATTTTCCAGGTATCCTTAAATCAGGGGTTTTCAAACTATGGATCACGACCCAATAGTGGGTCGCACGGTGAACAAAGATGTGTCACGCAACATCACATAGCTGCAGCTGTATTTACATTGCGGTGAATCAAAACCAGTACGATTGACGGCAATAACTCAAAAACCTCTTACCCTAAAAATATCTAAAGTGTGTTTCCTACAAAAAGACAAAGCTGGTGATGTTGCACAGCTTTTTTTCGCTTGACATTACGAGCACTGCTCCGTTTGAGCCCTCGCAATCTGCGTTTAGCCGGTAGAGCTCGTGCTTAACGAAGCTCTCAGTAAGGGACCGTCGGAAAAGTGCTTTTTTTTTTTTTTTTTTTTTTTGCTGCTCCGTCCTGCATGCTGTATTTTAAACACTACTAATTTTCTCTTAAATGAGCACAAACAGTTATTAAAGTAGTCGAATGCTTCATTATAGATCTGTGCATTTACATTAACACCTCTGTTATCAAACAAAACACAATGAGAGATTCATTTGCTGCTCTTCACTAAATAACTATAGTAACTTTAATTAATATGCAAATACAATTAAAAGTGAAATAGATTTTAGAGCTTTATTTAATTTCTGGATAAGCCATTGATTTTAATAGGCTAAAACTTTTATTTCATTGTCAATATTTTCTAATGTTTTCTATGTATTCTATCATTTGAAGCTATTTGTTGTCCCATATTTTTTACATCCCAACGTTGACAGATTGCTAATCAATAAATAGCTATAGTGCTATCTGTTAGTTTTAACGTCACCTCATGTTATGGCAGGGCATAGGTGTTATGGAAAATCGTAATAGTAATGCAACTACCCCATCATTCCTTCCTCAAGCAAATGTGTAAATATTAGATCAATTCAGCAGTATTGTAAATTGCACTGGCATATTTATCTGATGCTTTCCCAGCTTGTAGTAGTCGATCAAAAAGCTATTTAGTTTCTTATGACTACACTAGCAGTGGAATTTACTGCGATGTGACGGGGCTTGATCATAATCCAGGGGCTTGATCAAAGGTTGATCATATTCTCTTCTAAAAAATCTTTTTCAACAAATTAAATAATCAGAGTTACAGCCAACATCCCACAAAAATCACTTTGAGCCTCATTTTATGCATTTTAAAAATCGCAAAATCCAAAATGCCGCTCACCATATCTTTTTGACTGCTTTGAATGGATACTTTTTTTTTACCCATTTATCCATATTAAAATATGAAGGTGGGTCTTGAGATTAAATTACTTGGTGGGTACCGAGGTGGGTCCCGAAATAAAAATGTTTGGGAATCCCTGCCTTAACACCTGATTCAGATCACCAGCTCATTAGCAGAGACTGAAAGACTTGTAATGGGTGTAACAGACAAAGGAGATATCCAAACATGTAGTGTTGGTGATCCTTCAGGAACCTGGTTGAGCAACACTGACCTAGATCTTGGATGGCCAAAGATTTGTGAATGGTCGTGCATCAGCCAAAGATATGCAGTATTACTTACCTCTCTCAATCACTTCTTCTCTCATTTTTTGTTTCTCTTCCGCAAGCTCCACTCCTTCCTTAGACGCCCGGAAACGTCTGGAACGCTGTTGGTTCATTTTAGCTCGAGGAGCCTGAAAAAAAATTAAACAGATGAGCAAAGAGAGACACTATTGATTTACAATGTGCATGTTTTGTGTACACTAGAATCTTATGAAGAAATTAAGGAATATACTTTATTAGTTAACACAGAAATTTAATTACTTGTAATTTTAGGAAACCTCAGAAGGAACCATGTAGTAACATTTTGCATTGAACATCATTATAACTAAACAGGCACTGAGACCAAAAATATTTCAAACAAGCCTCAATGCGGCACAGGACAAGATTTGATTGCGACTTCGGGTTCATGCTGTTATTCTCGGTGTCAGAAAGCCTGCTTGATGGACTAGGAACTAAAGTTCGTTGCATGTTTCTAGGGGGGACGTTTAGTTTATGGGACCTGCTGTTATGTTCTCCATCATTGCTAGCTCCTGCTGATGTTGTTTTCTGTAATGCGTTCATCTTATACAAGTAAGTTTTAATCTGAAACATCTAATACTTATGTAACATGCATGCTGATACTAATTTGAGGTCTATATCGCCTATAATGTTCCGCTATAGCGGTTATTTGCGGCCGCGATTGCCGCGATAATTCTGCTGAGTCATCCCCATTAAGCCAGAGCTATAAATAGCCGTTATGGACGTCCGATCAGCGTGCTTGCTCATATGAACGGACATTTTTTAGACTGTTGTTGCTAATTAGACTGTCACATTCCTAACAGACATTACTGTTATTATGTTTGAGTTTAATATGCACATTTATGATGAATGTTATTGTTGCAGTGTATTGTTTTAGTCAATGTTAATGACAATTCATAGTCAATACTATTTGTAATTATTTCTTTATTTGTTTTTCCTTTGTAGACCATTACATCTTATTCATTTCTCACTACCATTACCCATAATTGAGCAATCTGATGATTATGTTGAAGAAAATAAATATTTCAAACGTCAACACTTCTCCTGCCCTCCTGATTCTCTGACCGGAATCTGGTCCATATTTGGCCGCCTCAACCAGTGGAAAATTTACATGTAGTAAGGTTTACTACATTATTATGGTCCTTCGAGCCGGATTGAGAGCAATATAAAACCAGTATGGACCGAACAGGAAGTGACACTGAGAAAATGGACAGACCCCACCGCAGGACACATCTGCCACCTCACCTGGATGATTATGAAGTTGATTACCAACCTATACAGGACCCTCCCCCAAAAGCTTCTACAACCTGTCCCAGTCATTCTAGAAGCAGCTCGAGGAAAACGTCCCGCAGTGGTATCAGCTCTCATTCTAGGACGAGTAGACGTTCTGTTACCTCCACTGGTGTTTATCTCCCACCAGAACTCTCTAGTGTCCAGACAGCTGTTTTGGAGGAGAAGATTAAGCAGAGACAGTTTGATAGTCTACAGCAGCAGGTACAGGAGGACTCACTAGCTGATGTGGAATATCAGCGCCTGCAGACACAAGCAAAGGAAGCTCAGCGTATTCAGGAGGAGGCTCTTGCAGCTAAGGAAGCTTTGTCCAAGCATCTAGAGAGACAGCGGAAACTACAACAGGCAGAGACTGAGCTTGAGGTAGCCAAACTTGTATCTTCAATGCTTATTACAAACTCTGGTTCAAACACTCCCAGGCCTTCAGGCTCACCAGACAGCCCATCACCGCCACCTCAACCTGATCATACTAATGCATCCAGGAGTCCACAGTCTACCTCCTCTTCTCAGCTTCCACCTCCGCTACCAACAGTCACATCATGTGATGACATTTCACAGCTGTCACTTAGACCACTGGCGCTAACATTACCTACCACCACAGTGAGTGTTTCCTCTCCTTCAACATTCCCGTTATTACAAGCAGTCTTATCATCAGTCGTTACAGTATCTGAGACTGCCCCTAAAACTATGCCATTAAACACAGTGACATCAGCTCCACATGTGACACATCAGCCTTTCTCTGTAGCGACAGTTATGTCCACTATTGGCCAGTCTATGAGTAGAAGAGGGCCATCTGTACCAAAGCAGTCTAACACTGCCCCACTGACAATGAATATGAATCCATATGTGATGCAGCAGTCATTCATACCTCCAGTGAGCACACACGGATATCAGCAGCAACCTCCAATCACCAGCCAGCAGGCCTCAGCTCCGCCACCTAATGTCAGATCTGCTCAGCCACATTCATTCATGCCTCTTCCCCACACATACCCTGGTACAGAGCTACTGTTTGCCTCAGCTTATGGCATACCACAACCCAAGCTACCAGTATTTGAGAGTGGTAATGAAAGTGACTTTGCCTTGTTAAAACTGGCCCTAGATAATTTGCTAAGTAATCACAGCTATCTTAGTGAGCAGTATAAATATCATGTACTGTTAAGTCATTTGAAGCTACCCAGCGCACAGCAGCTAGCGAAAGCTTATATGTATCATTCACATCCATACTCAGCTGCACTACAAGCACTTCAGGACAAGTACGGACAGCCAAGACAACTCGTACAGTCAGAGCTGGGTGCCATCATGAATAGCCCACCACTTAGACTGGGTGATGCTAATGCCTTTGACAGCTTCGCATTATCAGTACAGTCATTAGTAGGCATGTTGAGGACCCTTGAAGGTCAAAATGGGTACGAGTTAATGTGTGGCTCTCATGTGGATCGACTACTCAGCAAGTTACCACCTGCCTATCGTGACAGCTTCGTTGAGTACTGTCTAAGCCGGGGTATCCTCCAGACAGGCACAGACAGAACCTATACACTCCCCGATCTGGCCACCTGGTTAGAGATTAAGTCCCAGGCGAAGCGAATTTCCAACCGAGCTGCAGCTTTGTTCCCGAGTGACCTAGCCAAGCCTCAAGGTAAACCCACAACATATTCCCGACCAAAGGAGCGATTCACACCTGTCTTGTTGACCAGTGAGAGGAGCATAAACCGTCCTGATACTGCAGCACAGAGATCTAGCACAAAGGTTAAGCCCAGGCCATATTGTCCCCATTGTGATAGCCGAGACCATTACCTGAATGCATGTGAACAGTTTAAGAAACTAACTACAGCTCAAGTTACCACCTGGATAAGAGAAGGAAAGCGCTGCTGGAGGTGTGGTCGAACTCATGACGTGGGGGTCTGCAACCTTAAGCGCCTATGCAGTGTCTGCAAAGAGTTACATCTTACAGTTCTACATGATTCAGTTCAAGACACTTCTAGAGCTGTTCTCATGGTCAGTTTGCCACCTACAAGAATTTATCTGGATCGACCCAACCGTTCCCCTAAGGTCATGCTGAAAGTTGTTAAAGTCCTGCTACACAGTGGTCGAAAAACTATGGAAACCCATGCCGTTCTCGATGATGGATCAGAGAGAACTCTAGTGCTCCAGCCAGTTGTGCAACAGCTTCAATTATCTGGTACCCCTGAACTGCTCTCGCTGCAGACCATTCACCAGTGTCACACTGAACTTATAGGATCATCTGTGTCTTTTGAGGTGTCATCTGTATCCAATCCCTCAAAGAAGTTTGCGATACACAACGCATTCACTGCCCCAGGTCTGTGTCTAGCGGAACACCATTACCCAGTGGCTGCTCTGCAAAGGGCTTATAGACACCTAAAAGATTTGCCACTGCCTCCCATGGATAAAGTGAGACCACTGCTCCTCATTGGGTCCGACATGCCGCATCTCCTGACACCAGTTCAGCCTGTATGCAAGGGCCCACCAGGGGGACCCATCGCTGTTCGTACACAACTTGGATGGTCTCTCCAAGGCCCAATGAGCCCGATGCAGCCCTCAAGAGGAAGTCAGCAGTGTCTTCATATTATGTCAGTTCCCACCTGTGATAACCTGTTTCAACATGTGGAGAGACTCTGGCAGGTGGACACACTCCCATACAACACCAAGATGGTTACCAGGTCCAAACAGGACAAGGAGGCTTACACTTTGCTGCAGAATGCAACCGTCAGAGTGACTGTGGACTGTGTACGACGATATGCTACACCATTACTGAGACGGACCCCCCGAACCTTGCTCCAAGCAGATAAGACAGCTGTTCTCCCAAGTTTACGTCGTACTGAGCGTACCCTTGAAAGGGATCCTGATAGGGCCAAAATCTACTGCAGTGAGATTTCTAAATTGGAGTCAGCTGGTTATGTGGCAAAAATAACGGCAGAGGAAGCAAACCAAAGTGAAGAGTCCTGGTTCATTCCGCACCACATGGTGCACCATAATGGTAAAGACAGAATTGTCTTCAACTGCTCTTTCCAACACCATGGACAGTCTTTGAATGATCAGCTGCTGCCGGGGCCCACGTTGGGACCATCCTTATTAGGTGTCCTCCTGAGATTCCGCCAGCACACAGTTGCTATCAGTGGGGACATCAAAGGTATGTTCCACCAGGTCCGTTTGTTGCCAGGAGACAAATCTGTACTACGTTTCCTCTGGAGAGGAATGTGCAGAGAAGTAGAACCTGAAATATATGAATGGCAGGTGCTTCCATTTGGCACAACGTGCAGTCCCTGTTGTGCCATTCATGCCCTCCAACACCACGTCCAAGAGCACAAAGAAGGTAAAACTGAATTGGTGGATATTGTGGAACATTCCTTTTATGTTGACAACTGCCTTCATAGTGTACCAACGGCGAGTGAGGCTAAAGTGATAGTAGATGGATTACGCCAGCTCCTTTCTGAAGGTGGCTTTGAAATTAGACAGTGGGCATGCAATGTACCATCCGTAACTGAACACCTACCTTCAGATGCCAGGTCCGCAAGTAGCGAGCGCTGGTTAGCACAAAGCAGCACTGATCTTCAGGAGCCCACTCTTGGGTTGCGGTGGGATTGCATCAATGACACCTTGGGGTACAACTTGCGTTCTGTGGAGAATGTTGAACCTACCCTGAGGAACATGTATAAAACTTTGGCGAGTCAATACGACCCTTTAGGGTTCATTACACCATTCACTACTAGAGCCAAGGTTATCATCCAGGACCTCTGGAAGCACAACCTTGGTTGGGATGACCCCATAGAGCCATCACATTTGAGAGATACTTGGCTTTCCTGGGTAGAGGAACTCCCTACACTTACCAAGATACATTTCCCTCGGGCATATACCCCAGCCGCTGCTGACAACCCATCGGCTATACGAGAGCTTCATGTCTTCAGTGATGCATCGGAAAGAGCCTATGGTTCAGTGGCCTATCTACGCACCACCGATGAGCAAGGACAAATCCATATTACCTTTGTCTCGGCCAGGTCTAGAGTCGCGCCTCGCAAATGCCTATCTGTACCACGTTTGGAGTTATGTGCTGCCCTTACTGGGGCCCAATTGGGGAAAGTAATCCAAACTGAGTTGACGCTACCAATCCACAAGGTCACTTTCTGGTCTGATTCTACAACAGTGTTGTATTGGTTAACATCCGAATCCTGCCACTACAAAGTGTTTGTAGGGACACGGGTGGCAGAAATACAGACTTTAACAGAGATGGCTGAGTGGAAGTATGTTGAGTCACATCACAACCCTGCTGACCACATCACACGAGGCCTTACCCTAACAGAGATAGCAGGCCCCCATCAATGGAGCTCAGGTCCAGCCTTCCTGATCCAGTCACCTGATCAATGGCCATCAATGCCCCAAACTAAAGCTGAACCTGATTGCAATGAGCTGAAGAAATCAGCCTTTATCGGAACTGCTTCATCACCCAGTGTTTCTCTACCAGTTCCAGGCAACTTCCACACATGGCAAGAGCTTGTTAAAGCCACTAGTAAATCCCTACATGGGGCGGCTGCCGACACAGACTCCTCTATAAAGGCCTCCGAGTATATTGAAGCAGAAAAGTTACTTCTGGCACAGGCTCAGATGGACTCCTTCCCTATGGAAGTTCAACATCTAAAGGCTGGACATCCTGTTTCACCAAACAGTCGCTTAGGTTCACTTGCTCCAGAATATGATGATGCTACTGGTCTCATTAGAGTGGGAGGGCGACTACGACGTGCCACTGATCTCGACTTGGAGGCCATACACCCAATCATATTAGACCCTAGCCATCATATTACAAAATTGTTGATCAAAGAAACGGACCAACAACTCCTTCACCCTGGCTCAGAGAGGGTTCTGGCAGAATTGCGCCGCCAGTATTGGATCCTTCGAGGTCGACAAGCAGTTCGTAAGCATCAGCATACCTGTCAAGATTGTCAGATATGGCGAGCCAAACCTCAAACTCCACGAATGGCAGATCTCCCCCCCTGCAGATTAAATCTGTATAAGCCACCTTTTTATTCTACGGGTGTGGACTGCTTTGGACCATATGCAGTCAAGATTGGACGCCGACAGGAGAAAAGATGGGGGATCATTTACAAATGTCTAACAACACGTTGTGTACATCTGGATCTGTTGGAGCATATGGACAGTGATGCTTTCCTTCTTTCCCTGCGCCGTTTTATAGCCCGACGAGGCAAACCTATGGAGCTATTGTGCGATAATGGCACCAACTTTATCGGAGGTGATCGAGAGTTACGTGAATCCTTTGAGGCCATGTCACCAAAGCTACAGGAACAGTTGGCAGAGCAGAAAATCAGTTTTCGCCATAACCCCCCAAACGCTCCTCACTTCGGAGGGACTTGGGAGCGTGAGATAAAATCAGTTAAGACAGCACTCCAAGTAATCCTCAGAGAGCAGTCAGTGCCAGAACCAGTTCTGCAAACCCTTCTGGTGGAGGTGGAAAACATTCTAAACTCCAAACCACTCGGATACGTATCTTCAGATATCGCGGATGTAGACCCTGTGACTCCTAACCTACTGCTCATGGGTCGCCGAGATGCCTCGTTACCCCAGGTCTTGTATGATTCTAGTAACCTGCTTGGAAGACGAAGGTGGAGGCATAGTCAGGTGCTAGCAGATTGTTTCTGGACTACCTTTATCCGTCAATACCTACCAAGCATGCAAGGCCGTCAAAAGTGGACAACTGATGGGAAGGAACTGGCAGTAGGACAAGTTGTACTTGTGATAGATCCACAGCTTCCACGTTCCCATTGGCCTGTTGGAACTGTAACAGAGGCTTTACCTGGAGCTGATGGCCGCATTCGAGTGGTCAGAATCAAGGTTAAGGACAAAACATACACCCGTCCAGTCGTGCGACTGATCCCACTTCCTCCTCTTGAGGACAATGACACGAGCACCCCTGACAGACTTTCTTAAGGTTCAATTATCTCGTCAGATAATTGGGGGCGGCTGTGTCAGAAAGCCTGCTTGATGGACTAGGAACTAAAGTTCGTTGCATGTTTCTAGGGGGGACGTTTAGTTTATGGGACCTGCTGTTATGTTCTCCATCATTGCTAGCTCCTGCTGATGTTGTTTTCTGTAATGCGTTCATCTTATACAAGTAAGTTTTAATCTGAAACATCTAATACTTATGTAACATGCATGCTGATACTAATTTGAGGTCTATATCGCCTATAATGTTCCGCTATAGCGGTTATTTGCGGCCGCGATTGCCGCGATAATTCTGCTGAGTCATCCCCATTAAGCCAGAGCTATAAATAGCCGTTATGGACGTCCGATCAGCGTGCTTGCTCATATGAACGGACATTTTTTAGACTGTTGTTGCTAATTAGACTGTCACATTCCTAACAGACATTACTGTTATTATGTTTGAGTTTAATATGCACATTTATGATGAATGTTATTGTTGCAGTGTATTGTTTTAGTCAATGTTAATGACAATTCATAGTCAATACTATTTGTAATTATTTCTTTATTTGTTTTTCCTTTGTAGACCATTACATCTTATTCATTTCTCACTACCATTACCCATAATTGAGCAATCTGATGATTATGTTGAAGAAAATAAATATTTCAAACGTCAACACTTCTCCTGCCCTCCTGATTCTCTGACCGGAATCTGGTCCATATTTGGCCGCCTCAACCAGTGGAAAATTTACATGTAGTAAGGTTTACTACACTCGGTCCACGAGACTGCCGCAAAATGGATATGATACACATAGATGAAAGCAAATAAAATTATATTTATCCAAGCACGGAAGAAACAAGAATGCATTAAGATTTTTTCAGACGTGATGCGGATGAACGACTCACCGCGACTTTAAGACTTTTTTTGTGAAAGCAAGAGAAAATCTTGTGGCAGTGCTGTTATAAAGAAGTCTCAAATGACCAACAACTGAAACACATTTTATTCCAGAACATTTGAGCTGGTTTCAGAATTCTTTCATTTTTTTCTTCTGTTGTTTCATTTTTACAAATCATTTTATTTAACTTGTTTGTTAATTTAATCTAGTTTTGTTATTTAGTCTATTAATTTTATGCAATAGTTGCAAACTAATTTGCTCGGAGATGCGGCTGTGCCCTTATGTGCAGCTCGCACTTCAACTGCTGCAGCAGAGACAGAGAGAGAGCGTGCAAGAGAGCCATCAGAACAATTCATTTTTATCCGAAAGTGCCTGTCAGGTGATGTTGACCTGAACAGTTAAAGCTGTCAAATTATTTGTAGTTCATTTATTATTAAATGATGATGATTAAAAATAGTAATACTATTAATTTTATTCAATAATGCAATTAAAACATGCAATAGGTCTACATTAATGCAAAACAAGCTAAATATCGTCTTAAAAAGAGTCATAGATTTCAGCTCTCGGCAATATTTTTGCCTATTGTCGATACACAATACTATCGTCTATCGGCACAACACTCATACCAAATACTGCTGTATTGTGCTTACTGTGATCATGCTTAATAATGGTTGATACATACCACACCATCAATTGCCATATACAGAACCCGTCTTGGTCGAACGATGTTAAAGAGACGGTCGATATATTCAAAAATGGCAACCATCATCTCATCTTCATTTTTTGGTGCTGGCCTGCAAATGTGTAAAACCACATTTAAATAAAAGCAAATCAATTTATCAACATTGGAATGTGAACAACATGCGAGAATCTCACTTGTCCTCAGGATGTGTGCATGGATGGATAATTCCGTTCATGTCCAGATACAGGTTGTCAAACTCCACTTCATTTGGGTTGGGTTTGCTGGTATCAACTGGGATTTTAACGCCATTGTACTCCTTGGCCTGAAATAAAAAAGAATTACAGATATTTGCATATATAAATATTTTAAACAAACAATCGACATAAGCTATAGTTTACTATGAACAAACTAGTCAGTTTTTAACAAAGAATCACATCCTCAATTTGAAGTGAAATTTTTCTGATTAGGACTTGAAACACCTGGTGAAGTCTAGAAGGGATACAGCTGTGACAGGAAGTTAACAATGATGATAATAATAATAATTCCTGACATTTATATAGCGCTTTTCTGGGCACTTGAAGCGCTTTACACATAGGAGGGGAATCTCCTCATCCACTACCAGTGTGAAGCATTCACCTGGATGACGCGATGGCAGCCATATTGTGCCAGCTAATGACACTGATGAAGCCAATTACGATATGGGGATGGTTAGGAGGCCATGATGGACAGAGGCCGGTGGGCAAATTTGGCCAGGATGCTGGGGTTAAACCCTTACTATTTTTCGAAGGACATCCTGGAATTTTTAACGACCACAGAGAGTCAGGACCTCAGTTTAACGTCTTATCCTAAAAGTCCAATCAATATACTGGGGCGTTAGGACCCACACAAACCGCAGGTTGAGCGTCCTCTGCTGGCATCACGAACACCACTTCGTAAAAATCATTCATAAAAATCATTATTTTTTTAAAAATTAAAAGGACACTATTTAAAAAAAGAGATAACAAAAGGTAAAATTAAGGTTTAAATAAAGAAAAAAAGGATAGTTCACATAAAAATCTAATAGTTTATTTAACCCTCAAAAGTTGTTTATTATTACATTTTAATTGAAAGGCATTAAGCTATTCAGAGTACTTACATATGCATTCTTGCACCCATGTTAAGTGGGCAAATTTGGCAAGGGTGGGGGGTGCGAAGGGATTTTTAATGACTTTTTAACATCATTCGAAAGACAGTGCTCACTGAGCAGTATAGAGTCCCCATCAATATACGGGGGCATTAGGACCCACAGACTGCAGGTTGAGTCCCCCCTGCTGGCCTCACTAACACCACTTCCAGTGTTGCGGTCTCCCATCCAGGTACTTACCAGGCACAGCCCTGCTTAGCTTCAGTGGGCGACCATGTGAGAGTTGCAGAGAGCAAGTTGCCGATAATGATTTATATTATTACTACTAATACAATTACTGCACAACAATAGTTCATCTTATACATTATTGTGAAGGGTAGGTTTGGAATTAGGTAAAATGTGTATTATATTTGCACATTCAAACAGTTGCCTTAATAATGTCAATTGCATAAAAGTAGGGCTGGGCTAATAAACGTTATACCGAATCGAAATAAAATGCATGTCAATAACAACGATAAGCTCTGCACTTTATATTAATCTAAGAGCCAATCACACAGCAGAAATGTGCAACAATGGGAATCTAAAAGTGTACATATTAGAGAAAAGATGCACCAAATTTTCGGCCTCCGAAATGTTATGCCATTTAACGAGCCCTTTAATTTTTTTGGCTTCAATCATTGTTGGGGTAAATCTGGAAGCATTAACAACTTATTTTGAGATAGATATATATATATATATATATATATATATATATATATATATATATATATATATATATATATATATATATATATATATATTTATATATTTATATATTTATATATTTATATATATATTTATTGCATTTATGCCATATCCCCTAGCCCTAAATAAAAGTATTATCTGCAAATTCTAAACAGCTAAATCATATTATCAGCCTATGACTACCAACGTACAGCATTGTTCAGTCAATTTAATAGTGCAAATGTTATTTTGAAGTAACAATTACATGCGATTTTAGACAGAGTATTTTAGTAGTAGCTTGGTAGTCAGTATGGGAACTGTTAAAATGAACAAACTTTACCTTAATAGGCTTAGGTAAGTGGTAGGAGATTAAGGTAAAGTTGGTTTTATATTCGCTCATTCGTTCATTTTAACAGTCCCCATATTATTTATTTACCATGGTACTTTGAATATTCAGTCTAAAAAAAAAAAAATCGTATGCAGTTATAACTCCAAATCAATCTTAGCACCATTTAATTGACTTTAAACTGTGTTGTAGGCTACTTTGATAGTCATCAGCAGCTAATATGTTTTCCTACTCAAAATTTGCAAAAAATACTTTTCTGAAATTGTTTTATTATAAAGAAAATCATTGTACGAAAATAAAACCAACTTTACCCCAATTTTAGTACTTTCAGGCAGCATTTGAACATGAAGACACCTCAAACTAAAGATAAGCATACCTCAAAATCACCACGTAGATACCTCAAACTGAGAATAAAACACCATAATGGTTTGACACAGGGGTGTCCAAACTCGGTCCTGGTGGGTCGGTGTCCTGCATAGTTTAGTTCCAACCCCAATTAAACACACCTGAACCAGCTAATCAAACTCCTAGGTATACTAGAAACATCCAAGGATGTATGCTAAATGGAGCAAAAGTTGGAGCTAAACTATGCAGGACACTGGCCCTCCAGGACCGAGTTTGGACTCCCCTGCTTTAACAGTATAACAAAACTGAATATTTGATTTCAACAATGCTGATTTACAGCTAGAAAAACCAATGGATGTGTGAATATAAGACCAACTTTACCTCCATTGGTAAGTTAGGTGTTAATAAAATGCCATTTAAAGGGTAATTTAATAAATAACAAACAATTATTGTTATAATAACTGTGTATACGTTACTGTGATGGGTAGGTTTAACTTAGGTTTGAGTAATAAAACGCAATGAATAAGTAATTTAACGTTATTCGTTTAAAAAAAATCATTGTTAACTTCTGGCCGCGGCTGTATCCCTTCTAACCACAACCACGACTGGCTGAAAATCTGCACAATTCTCTATGATTGGTTGGTCGTTCAAGCAGCCTCACACATAAAGGCAGCCTAAACATGTTGTCTAGTTATTAAACACTAAAGGTGTTTGAAACACAGCCAAACAGTAGGTTTGTAATTGCACCGAACTCGTGCTAGCTCACAAATACATCATCTAAATACGTTAAAAAGCATAAAAAATCCGATAAAAACAAAATGAAGCAAACATTACCAGATTTAAGTTTGATGACTGCAACGTATACTTAATACAACTATTTCAAGCAAAACTGACTGATTAATTACATCAATAGCTGTACATAATCAACAAACATGCAGATGCGCGTGCCCACCTTCTCTTCCAGGCAGTGCACAATTATCGACGGATACTTCCGACTCAACCAGCGGAAAAACGCGGGGACTCCCATCTCCCGTAAAATTCAGCACTTTTGAACAAAGGAGCAACTTTAAAAACGATTAAAAACAGTGAAACACGCAAAGGGATGAAAACAGCTATCAAACACAGCGCACGCAGCTTATTTACCCAGCAATGTGCGTAATTTCCGGGTCATCAGGAAGTGACGTGAACGCGCCACGCGGTGGTAACAAGCGAATCGCATCCATGATTGCGCCTCCAGATGAACAACAATGAAGCTGTAAAATAACAAAAAACAAGATCCTGGAGCAAATAAATGGTAAAAAAAAATTAGTAATAGGCTAATATATGTTATATATGTATATGTATTTAAATCTTACATTTTCATTTGATTTTAGTTAAAGAGTTAATAATTTGTTGGTGAGTTTTTAGCATTTATATAATATCTTTAATAAATAATGGCCTGTTTATTTGTAAATTTCATTCATTTTCCTTTAAGGGTTTAGTCCCTTTATTCATCTGGGGTTGCCACAGCGGAATGAACCGCCAACTTATCCAGCATATGTTTTACAGATGCCCTTCCAGCTGCAACCCAGTACTGGGAAACACCCATACACACTCATTCACACACATACACTGCAGCCAATTTAGTTTATTCATTTCTTATAGTGCATGTGTTTGGCCTCCCAGCAAGATGGTCGCTGGTTCGAGTCCCAGCTGGGTCCGTTTACATTTCTGTGTGGAGTTTGTGTGTTCTGCCCGTGTTGGTGTGGGTTTCCTCCGGGTGCTCCGTTTTTCTTTCCGCTTAGTCTCTAATTTTGCAATGGCGGAATGAACCGGCAACTTATCCAGCATCTGTTTTACACAATGTTTGCCCTTCCAGCTGCAACCCAGTGCTGGGAAACATCCATACACACTCATTCACACTCATACACTACGACCAATTCACCTAGAGCGTGTTTGGACTGTAGGGGAAACCGGAGCACCAGGAGGAAACCCACACCAACATGGAGCGAACATGCAAACTCCACACACAAATGCCAACTGGCCCAGCCAGGACTCGAACCACAGACCTTCTTGCTGTGGGGCGACAGTGCTAAGCACTCAGCCACGTGTTGCCACGTCCTAAAACTCCACATTTATAATCCTCTCAGTCGCTTACTATACATTTAGCAGATGAAAACTCTACTGGAGGAGGGCTGCTTCTCACTCAGGGCTGTTTATGCAAATTAGGGATAGATCATAACTAATGGGTGGGGCTTTCCCCCTCTGCTGACACACACAAAGGGAGAATGTCAATCAAAGTATTTCTGCAGACTGTTTTATCAAATGATTATAAAAAATAAATAAATTCATTAATTTTTTAGCATTAGAAACTGCTTTTATTCACACACTGTTGCCACACAACTGTGTTTAAACCCCTTATACAAAGGATTTTTGTATTAAATTATATATATATATATATATATATATATATATATATATATATATATATATATATATATATATATATATATATATATATATATATATATACTTATAAAGTTATATATACACACACACACAAACACTAACCGGCCACTTTGTTAGGTACACCTGTCTAACTGCAGGTTAACGCAAATTTCTAATCAGCCAATCACATGTCAACAACTCAATGCATTTAGGCATGTAGACATGGTCAATACGATCTGCTGCAGTTCAAACTGAGCATCAGAATGGGGAGGAAAGATGATTCAAGTGACTTTGAACGTGGCATTGTTGTTGGTGCCAGATGGGCTGGTCTGAGTATTTCAGAAACTGCTGATCTACTGGGATTTTCATGCGCAACCATCTCTAGGGTTTACAGAGAATGGTCTGAAAAAGAGAAAATATCCAGTGAGCGGCAGTTCTGTGGACGCAAATGACTTGTTGATGCCAGAGGAGAATGGCCAGACTGGTTCAAGCTGATAGAAAGACAACAGTAACTCAAATAACGACTCATTACAACCAAGATCTGCAGAGTCGCATATCTGAACACACAACATGTCCTTGCTACAGCAGCTGAAGACCACACCGGGTGCCACTCATGTCAGCTAAGAACAGGAAACTGAGGCTACAATTTACACAGGCTTACCAAAATTAGACAATTGAAGATTGGAGAAACGTTGCCTGGTCTGATGAGTCTCGATTTCTGCTACAACATTCAGATGGTAGGGTCAGAATTGGCATCAACAACATGAAAGCATGGATCCATCCTGCCTTGTATCAACAGTTCAAGCTGGTGGTGGTGATGTAATGGGGTGGGGGATATTTTCTTGGCACACTTTGGGCCCATTAGTACCAACTGAGCATTGTGTCAACGCCACAGCCTACCTGAGTATTGTTGCTGACCATGTCCATCCCTTTATGACCACAGTGTACACATCTTCTGATGGCTACTTCCAGCAGGATAACGCACCATGTCATAAAGCGTGAATCATCTCAGACTGGTTTCTTAAACATGACAATGAGTTCACTGTACTCAAATGGCCTCCACAGTTACCAGAACGCAATCCAATAGAGCACCTTTGGGATGTGGTGGAACAGGAGATTCCCATCATGGATGTGCAGCCAGCAAATCTGCAGCAACTGCGTCATCCTGTATTGTAAAAATGGACCAAAACCTCTGAGGACTATTTCCTGTAGTTGAATCTATGCCATGAAGGATTAAGGCAGTTCCGTAGGCAAAAGAGGGTCCAACCTGGTATTAGTCAGGTGTACCTAATAAAGTGTCTTGTGAGTGTGTGTGTGTGTGTGTGTGTGTGTGTATGTATGTATGTATGTATGTATGTATATATATATATATATATATATATATATATATATATATATATATATATATATATATATATATATATATATATATATATATATACACACACACTTTCAATTCTAAAGTGAAGTGAAGTGTTTGTTTTTATACAACTTCTACTAAGAACATATAAACAGAATTATGCATCCACGATTAAAGGTTTGTGTGTTTAAATTGCATGTATTTTTTTCTTCCCCTGATCATAGGCAGATTTCTGCAGCTCCTTTCCAATGCAAATGAGCATCATATGACAGTCTATGGAGACTTGAAGTATTCAGCTGATTTCCGTGAAGAGCTGTTTGATCTTTGGTGATGCAAATTCAGTAGTTTGTCCTTATCTTCATTTGCTCTTGAGTCTTCACATTATGTCCATGAACCCGGAGGCTCATTCATTGATGAAGCCTCTTGTCACGAACATGAACACACACACATACGCACACACACAGAGACGTTTACGCAATTGTGGGCGAAAATCATATTCACGGAGAATGGAACCGATACACTTAAGATTCTGTGGGCTGTAATTCAGGGTAATAAGCAAAAATTTACCTGAACCAAAACATTAAATGCATTGGATCTCTTGAGAAAAATGGAAATGCTGCAGACGGTATTTTTAAAAAAGATCAAGTATTCTGATGATGTCAATCATATGATGTTTAGCATCGTAACAGTCTGTACCTATATATTATATGCAAAAACAGTCTTTATCATTGCCTATATAAAACACCCATCAGCTCTTAAAGGGATAGTTCACCCAAAAATCATTGTTTACTTGTTTTTAACCTTTGTATGTCATTCAGCGGATGTTGGACACAAAAGCAGATATTTTGAAACATGTTGAAAACCTGCAACCATTGACCTTAATTTGTTTTTCATTCATACAATAATTTTCCTTTGTTTATCAGGGTTCGCCACAGCGAAATGAACCACCAACTATTCTAGCAAATGTTTTACACAGTGGATGCCCTTCTATTTGCAACCCAGTACTGCGAACCACCCATATACACTCACACTCATACACTATGGTCAGTTTAGCTTATTCAATTCACCTATTGTGCAATGTCCTTGAACTGTGGAGGAAACCGAAGCACCTGGAAGAAACCCATGCCAACAAGGGGAGAACATGCAAACTCCACTTAGAAATGCCAACTGACCCAGTTCGGACTGGAACCAGCAACCTTCTTGCTGTGAGGCAACAGTGCTAACCACTGGCCTCCGTCTTTATCATTCTCTATATAAAACCCATCAGCTCTTAAAGGGATATTTCACGCAAAAATCATTGTTTACTTTAATTTTACTTGTTTTAAACCTTTTTGCATGTCTTTCTTCTGTTGGCCACAAAATGAGATACTTTGAAAAATGTTGGAAATTTGTAACCATTGACTTCCATTTCTTTTTCCTATTATGAAAGTCAATGGTTACAGGTTTTCAGCTTTCTTCAAAATATCTTTTGTGTTCAACAGACTAAACAGCTCATAAATGTTTAAACTATACTTGAGAGAGATTAAATAGTGTGTAAAATTTCATTTTTGGCTGAACTATCTCTTAAGGACAGAGAAATTACATCATAAATAGTCATTTTCAGCTGAATCTATAAAAATCAAACAATTTTTTCCGACTCCAAGCATCAAATAAGTTTGTCTTTAACTTTTATATTGATAAACAAGCATTTTAAAAGAAAGTGATAAGCATTTTCATGCATGAATCCGCAGTGAATTGTGAACCAAATAAAGAGTACTAAAGCAAAAGACAAAATAATAGAGCTTAAAAAAGCTTAATTTGATGTTTGGTGTTACTTGTTTCTTTTTATAGCTAACTGAAATTTAATATCAATCTGAAATCCTAAACAATGTCTATTGTATGTCTTTCAATAAGCAGCTAGGTGGCTCAGTGGTTAGCACTGTCGCCTCACAGCAAGAAGGTCGCTATAGTTCCAGTCCCGGCTGGGTCAGTTGGCATTTCTGTGTGGAGTTTGCATGTTCTCCTCATGTTGACATGGAGTGTGTGTATAGGTGTTTTCCAGTGCTGGGTTGTGGCTGGAAGGGCATCCGCTTCGTAAAACATATACTGGAATAGTTGGTTTTTCATTCCGCTTTGGCGACCTCTGAAATAGAGACTAAGCCGAAGGAAAATAATTGAATGAAAAATTCTTTCAATGCATATAAGCCATGATGTGAATAGCACATCAAATTAAATTTACAAGGGTCATTTCATATACACAGAAAGCTTATTAATGGAGAAAAAAGTTTTTCAATTTTATATCTATTCATTCATTCATTTTCTTGTCGGCTTAGTCCCTTTATTAATCCAGGGTCGCCACAGTGGAATGAACCACCAACTTATCCAGCAGGTTTTTACGCAGCAGATGCCCTTCCAGCCGCAACCCATCACTAGGAAAAATGTTGTATCTA